GTCGCTTTCGGTCATAGCTGTACTCCCTCTAGTCACAACCCAGAATACAATGCACTGCTTTAATTTCTTCACATTCACAAAGGTAAGTTAGCAGCTGACCATACTTGTAAATATTGCAAGAAAATGGACACATATTTAACCCCTATTTTTTTGTTGCCACAAAACTACCTCCAACTACCATTCATTTTTAAATCCGGTACCGGGTAACCTTCAGACGAGTCCTGTGAAACACGGAGAACACCATTGTGTTTGTGAGAGTCTCCTCTTTCCATAGAGTGGTCATATTAATTAGTAGGCTAAACCGTTTGGGAGCTACAGACGTTTTTTGTGAGTAGACAGTTCCTGCAACAGTACTATGAACTATGTAACAGTACTATGAACCATGTAACAGTACTATGAACCATGTAACAGTATTATGAACTATGTAACAGTACTATGAACTATGTAACAGTACTATGAACTATGTAACAGTACTGTGAACTATGTAACAGTACTATGAACTATGTAACAGTACTATGAACTATGTAACAGTACTATGAACCATGTAACAGTACTATAACTATGTAAACAGTACTATGAACCATGTAACAGTACTATGAACTATGTAACAGTACTATGAACCATTAACAGTACTATGAACCATGTAACAGTACTATGAACCATGTACAGTACTATGAACTATGTAACAGTACTATGAACTATGGTAACAGTACTATGAACTATGTAACAGTACTATGAACCATGTAACAGTACTATGAACTATGTAACAGTACTATGAACTATGTAACAGTACTATGCTATGAACTATGTAACAGTACTATGAACCATGTAACAGTACTATGAACCATGTAACAGTACTATGAACCATGTAACAGTACTATGAACTATGTAACAGTACTATGAACTATGTAACAGTACTATGAACCATGTAACAGTACTATGAACTATGTAACAGTACTATGAACCATGTAACAGTACTATGAACTATGTAACAGTACTATGAACTATGTAACAGTACTATGAACTATGTAACAGTACTATGAACCATGTAACAGTACTATGAACTATGTAACAGTACTATGAACTATGTAACAGTGAACTATGTAACAGTACTATGAACCATGTAACAGTACTATGAACCATGTAACAGTACTATGAACCATGTAACAGTACTATGAACCATGTAACAGTACTATGAACTATGTAACAGTACTGTGAACCATGTAACAGTACTATGAACCATGTAACAGTACTATGAACCATGTAACAGTACTATGAACCATGTAACAGTACTATGAACTATGTAACAGTACTATGAACCATGTAACAGTACTATGAACCATGTAACAGTACTGTGAACCATGTAACAGTACTATGAACTATGTAACAGTACTGTGAACTATGTAACAGTACTATGAACCATGTAACAGTACTGTGAACTATGTAACAGTACTGTGAACTATGTAACAGTACTATGAACCATGTAACAGTACTATGAACCATGTAACAGTACTGTGAACTATGTAACAGTACTGTGAACTATGTAACAGTACTGTGAACTATGTAACAGTACTGTGAACTATGTAACAGTACTATGAACTATGTAACAGTACTGTGAACTATGTAACAGTACTGTGAACTATGTAACAGTGTGTATTCTACCTACAATCCGCTGTACCCTACGTACATAACTTCTGTAACATACATGGGTTTTAAAGGTGCTCATTGTTAAGTGGAAGCAGGATGTATTTTACTATAGTATAAAATATTCTATAATAATATTAACTCTGTATGTGGGTATTTTTGGAACTGTGCAATTCCCTTCATTGAAACAATTTAATATTAGGATAATCTGTCTACGGCTTGTGTTGTCCGCGTTGAGACTCTGAGATATGGAACCACAGCCCTGGGTGCATAGTACCTATTAGCCTCGTGAGTCAGCTTATGGCAAATTGACGTGAAAAGTACAGTGGGGAGAACAAGTATTTGATACACTGCCGATTTTGCAGGTTTTCCTACTTACAAAGCATGTAGAGGTCTGTAATTTTTATCATAGGTACACTTCAACTGTGAGAGACGGAATCTAAAACAAAAATCCAGAAAATCACATTGTATGATTTTTAAGTAATTCATTTGCATTTTATTGCATGACATAAGTATTTGATACATCAGAAAAGCAGAACTTAATATTTGGTACAGAAACCTTTGTTTGCAATTACAGAGATCATACGTTTCCTGTAGGTCTTGACCAGGCTTGCACACACTGCAGCAGGGATTTTGGCCCACTCCTCCATACAGACCTTCTCCAGATCCTTCAGGTTTCGGGGCTGTCGCACCTTTTAGCTCCATCCAAAGATGTTCTATTGGGTTCATGTCACGATCGTCGTTAAGAGAGGAGGACCAAGGCGCAGCGTGATGAACGAACATGTTTATTTATCATTAGCGATAAACACGGACAGTAAACAAAAACAACAAACGACTCGTAACGTCCTAGGTAACATAGACCAACACGGAACAAGAACCCACAAACACAAAGGGAAAAACAGACAGTTTAAATATGGCTCCCAATCAGAGACAACCAGCCACAGCTGACACTCGTTGCCTCTGATTGGGAGTCACTCAGGCCAACATAGAAATAAACCAACTAGAACTCCCAACATAGAAATTCACCACATAGAAAGAACACACCCTGGCTCAACATATAGAGTCCCAGAGCCAGGGTGTTACAGTTCAGGTCTGGAGACTGGCTAGGCCACTCCAGGACCTTGACATGCTTCTTACGGAGCCACTCCTTATCAAATCAAATCAAATCAAATCAAATGTTATTGGTCACATGCGCCGAATACAACAGGTGCAGACATTACAGTGAAATGCTTACTTACAGCCCTTAACCAACAGTGCAATGTGCGGGGGCACCGGCTAGTTGAGGTAGTTGAGGTAATATGTACATGTGGGCAGAGTTAAAGTGACTATGCATAAATAATTAACAGAGTAGCAGCAGCGTAAAAGGATGGGGTGGGGGGGCAGTGCAAATAGTCCGGGTAGCCATGATTAGCTGTTCAGGAGTCTTATGGCTTGGGGGTAGAAGCTGTTGAGAAGTCTTTTGGACCTAGACTTGGTACTCCGGTACCGCTTGCCGTGCGGTAGCAGAGAGAACAGTCTATGACTAGGGTGGCTGGAGTCTTTGACAATTTTGAGGGCTTTCCTCTGACACCGCCTGGTATAGAGGTCCTGGATGGCAGGAAGCTTGGCCCCAGTGATGTACTGGGCCGTACGCACTACCCTCTGTAGTGCCTTGCGGTCGGAGGCCAAGCAGTTGCCATACCAGGCAGTGATGCAACCAGTCAGGATGCTCTCGATGGTGCAGCTGTAGAATTTTTTGAGGATCTGAGGACCCATGCCAAATCTTTTCAGTCTCCTGAGGGAGAATAGGCTTTGTCGTGCCCTCTTCACGACTGTCTTGGTGTGTTTGGACCATGATAGTTCGTTGGTGATGTGGACACCAAGGAACTTGAAGCTCTCAACCTGTTCCACTACAGCCCGTCGATGAGAATGGGGGCGTGCTCAGTCCTCTTTTTTTTCCTGTAGTCCACAATCATCTCCTTAGTTGCCCTGGCTGTGTGTTTCGGGTCGTTGTCATGCTGGAAGACCCAGCTACGACCCATCTTCAATGCTTTTACTGAGGGAAGGAGGTTGTTGGCCAAGATCTCGCGATACATGGCCCCATCCAATACGGTGCAGTCGTCCTGTCCCTTTTGCAGAAAATCATCCCCAAAGAATGATGTTTCCACCTCCATGCTTCACGGTTGGGATGGTGTTCTTGGGGTTGTACTCATCCTTCTTCTTCCTCCAAACACGGCGAGTGGAGTTTAGACCAAAAAGCTCTATTTTTGTCTCATCAGACCACATGACCTTCTCCCATTTCTTCTCTGGATCATCCAGATGGTCATTGGCAAACTTCAGACGGGCCTGGACATGCGCTGGACATGCGCTGGCTTGAGCAGGGGGACCTTGCGTGCGCTGCAGGATTTTAATCCATGACGGCGTAGTGTGTTACTAATGGTTTTCTTTGAGACTGTGGTCCCAGCTCTCTTCAGGTCATTGACCAGGTCCTGCCGTGTAGTTCTGGGCTGATCCCTCACCTTCCTCATGATCATTGATGCCCCACGAGGTGAGATCTTGCATGGAGCCCCAGACCGAGGGTGATTGACCGTCATCTTGAACTTCTTCCATTTTCTAATAATTGCGCCAACAGTTGTTGCCTTCTCACCAAGCTACTTGCCTATTGTCCTGTAGCCCATCCCAGCCTTGTGCAGGTCTACAATTTTATCCCTGATGTCCTTACACAGCTCTCTGGTCTTGGGCATTGTGGAGAGGTTGGAGTCTGTTTGATTGAGTGTGTCTTTTATACAGGTAACGAGTTCAAACAGGTGCAGTTAATACAGGTAATGAGTGGAGAACAGGAGGGCTTCTTAAAGAAAAACTAACAGGTCTGTGAGAGCCGGAATTCTTACTGGTTGGTAGGTGATCAAATACTTATGTATTGCAATAAAATGCAAATGAATTACTTAAAAATCATACAATTTGATTTTCTGGATTTTTGTTTTAGATTCCGTCTCTCACAGTTGAAGTGTACCTATGATAAAAATTACAGACCTCTACATGCTTTGTAAGTAGGACAACCTGCAAAATCGGCAGTGTATCAAATACTTGTTCTCCCCACTGTATATATTTTTTTGCATTTTAGCTAACCCTAACTCTTCTCCTAACGTTAACCTAATTATCCTAACCTGCTACATTAATTGTCCTAACCTGCTGCGTAAATTCTGCTTACCTGCTACGAAATGTCAGTTTCGACAAAAGCTGTATCCCTTCTAGACAAAACCGCCTTGGTGCCCCCCCAAAAAAACAATTTATCTTCCCCGCCAGGAAGGGCCGCAGCTTGAGTTCCAGAAAATAAATTATATATTGTAAAATAAATAAAAAAACCTGGTTATTAGCTATATCAGCCTGTTCCCTGCCGCTGTGGGGCTGAAGGTGAATGTAAATACACTGAGTTCCCCCTGAGCGGCATTCCTCTGCAGCGCACAGATTACTTCCTGTTTAGATTGGGCACTGGATAGATAGATAGAGAAGACATGGAGTCAATCACACTGGCAACTATTAGTGTCAGTCTCACAGTATCCACAGCTCTTATGGTGTCAACCATTAGTGTTAATTATCGGCAGCACGCAGATAATTGTCTAGCAATGAAGAGCATTGAAGAGAACGATCCTACCGAGAAGCGTTCAGTTCAGTGATGGTTGATTATTCATTTTTATAGAGGAAAGTGAAGACAGTAAAAGGGTGATGTCATTTTTTCGTTCGTTGTGCCGGCCAATGGGAAAGTTTTGAAGGAACGGTCTGAAAGGCGCGTTCATCCATGTTTGGTTGATCTTGATCATTACTGAAAGGCGCGTTCATCCATGTTTGGTTGATCTTGATCATTACTGAAAGGGAAGTGAAGACACATAGCTATAGTTGATTAAAGAGAACATTGTTTTCAGAAAACCGATTACTATGTTTGGAAAATGGAGGTGAGATTAACCTTGGTTCCTCCATGAATCATCCAGCTCAGAGTAGAGCTTGTTGATGTGACCTATTAGAACGCAGCATGCAGTTCTTCTACATTTGACATTTTAGTCATTTAGCAGACGCTCTTATCCAGAGCGACTTACAGTTAGTGAGTGCATACATTATTATAAAAAAATAAAAAATAAAAAATTCATACTGGCCCCCCGTGGGAATCGAACCCACAACCCTGGTGTTGCAAACGCCATGCTCTACCAACTGAGCTACATCCCTGCCGGCCATTCCCTCCCCTACCCTGGACGACGCCGCCCCCACCCCCATGGGTCACCCGGTCGCGGCCTGGATTCGAACCAGGATCTCTAGTGGCACAGCTAGCACTGCGATGCAGGACCACGCTATGAGAAGGGTATCACACAGTGGAATGGAAAACATTTCAATATCTTTGTTGGTTTCTTGTGAAAAACAAATATGAACCAAATTGTTTGTTTAGCAAGAGACTGTATGGGAAAGTAACTCATTATTTTTCTGGTACTTAGATTGTAAATTGCCCAGTGAAAAGAAAACCCTGACAGTGATTTTCTGTGGTGTATTATGACTGATATGCTAAACAGTGGGAAGTTTGTTTCCACAAACACAAAACAAAAGTCAGGCTAAAGTAGTTTCACATAATTGTCAGTGTTACTTTGTTATTGGCGTGGAAGATCATACAACTCTGCGATACTAGATATAAATACAGAATCATCATTCTGAGATATTACATTATGCATTGGAATTCAGTGTTTCCCCTACTATCACCAGACTGGGGTCGGGCTGCCATTCTGTTACCGCCCCCCCCCCCCCCCCCCCCCCCCCCCCCTCCTCCCCCCTTTCTTCATTGTTGGCAGCTGCCTTGACAACCTGAGTAAAGAGGAAAGCATCTATCTAAGAGACTTTGCATTTGGGTCCAATGTTTTCTTCTCATTAATCACTCTAAAGTATTTGAAGGCCAGAGACAAACTGCAAGACAGTAATAGTATGAAAGGACTATCTGTGTCGGTTTCTTTTTTAAGTGATGAATCTGTCATTCATTCATTACTATCTTCATTAATTATTATTATGACTATTATTATTATTATAATCTTCCTGTCTGTTGTCCCCCTCCAGATCAACATGTTTGTGGAAGGGTTCCATGATGCATTGCTGCTGTACGCTCTGGCGCTGCACGAAGCCATCAGAAACGGCCTCACCAAGAAGGACGGAGCAGAGATCACATATCGCATGTGGAACAGAACATTTGAAGGTAAAAAAAAAAAAAAAACTCTTTGCTCCTTATTACATTTGAGTCCCAAATGGCACCCTATTCCAAATGGCACCCTATTCCAAATGGCACCCTATTCCAAATGGCACCCTATTCCAAATGGCACCCTATTCCAAATGGCACCCTATTCCCTACACAGTGATTCTGTCTGAGTGTAATATGGAGTGAGCAGCTAGTATCCCCAGCCCTGTTAACCAGAAAGTCATATCCCCAGACCTGTTAACCAGAAAGTCATATCCCCAGCCCTGTTAACCAGAAAGTCATATCCCCAGCCCTGTTAACCAGAAAGTCATATCCCCAGCCCTGTTAACCAGAAAGTCATATCCCCAGCCCTGTTAACCAGAAAGTCATATCCCCAGCCCTGTTAACCAGAAAGTCATATCCCCAGCCCTGTGAACCAGAAAGTCATATCCCCAGACCTGTTAACTACAAAGTCATATCCCCAGACCTGTTAACCAGAAAGACATATCCCCAGACCTGTTAACCAGAAAGTAATATCCCCAGACCTGTTAACTAGAAAGTCATATCCCCAGACCTGTTAACTAGAAAGTCATATCCCCAGCCCTGTTAACCAGAAAGTCATATCCCCAGCCCTGTGAACCAGAAAGTCATATCCCCAGACCTGTTAACCAGAAAGTCATATCCCCAGCCCTGTGAACCAGAAAGTCATATCCCCAGCCCTGTGAACCAGAAAGTCATATCCCCAGCCCTGTTAACCAGAAAGTCATATCCCCAGCCCTGTGAACCAGAAAGTCATATCCCCAGCCCTGTTAACCAGAAAGTCATATCCCCAGCCCTGTTAACTAGAAAGTCATATCCCCAGACCTGTTAACTAGAAAGTCATATCCCCAGCCCTGTTAACCAGAAAGTCATATCCCCAGCCCTGTTAACCAGAAAGTCATATCCCCAGACCTGTCATATCCCCAGCCCTGTTAACTAGAAAGTCATATCCCCAGCCCTGTGAACCAGAAAGTCATATCCCCAGCCCTGTTAACCAGAAAGTCATATCCCCAGACCTGTTAACCAGAAAGTCATATCCCCAGCCCTGTTAACCAGAAAGTCATATCCCCAGCCCTGTTAACTAGAAAGTCATATCCCCAGACCTGTTAACCAGAAAGTCATATCCCCAGCCCTGTGAACCAGAAAGTCATATCCCCAGCCCTGTGAACCAGAAAGTCATATCCCCAGACCTGTTAACCAGAAAGTCATATCCCCAGCCCTGTTAACCAGAAAGTCATATCCCCAGCCCTGTTAACTAGAAAGTCATATCCCCAGACCTGTTAACCAGAAAGTCATATCCCCAGCCCTGTGAACCAGAAAGTCATATCCCCAGCCCTGTGAACCAGAAAGTCATATCCCAGACCTGTTAACTAGAAAGTAATATCCCCAGCCCTGTTAACCAGAAAGTCATATCCCCAGCCCTGTTAACCAGAAAGTCATAGCCCCAGACCTGTTAACTAGAAAGTCATATCCCCAGCCCTGTTAACCAGAAAGTCATATCCCAGACCTGTTAACTAGAAAGTCATATCCCCAGCCCTGTTAACCAGAAAGTCATATCCCCAGCCCTGTTAACCAGAAAGTCATATCCCCAGCCCTGTTAACCAGAAAGTCATAGCCCCAGACCTGTTAACTAGAAAGTCATATCCCCAGCCCTGTTAACCAGAAAGTCATATCCCAGACCTGTTAACTAGAAAGTCATATCCCCAGCCCTGTTAACCAGAAATTCATATCCCAGACCTGTTAACTAGAAAGTCATATCCCCAGCCCTGTTAACCAGAAAGTCATATCCCCAGCCATGTTAACCAGAAAGTCATATCCCCAGCCCTGTTAACCAGAAAGTCATATCCCCAGCCCTGTTAACTAGAAAGTCATATCCCCAGCCCTGTTAACTAGAAAGTCATATCCCCAGCCCTGTTAACCAGAAAGTCATATCCCCAGCCCTGTTAACTAGAAAGTCATATCCCCAGCCCTGTTAACTAGAAAGTCATATCCCCAGCCCTGTTAACCAGAAAGTCATATCCCCAGCCCTGTTAACCAGAAAGTCATATCCCCAGACCTGTCACATCCCCAGCCCTGTTAACTAGAAAGTCATATCCCCAGCCCTGTGAACCAGAAAGTCATATCCCCAGACCTGTCATATCCCCAGCCCTGTTAACTAGAAAGTCATATCCCCAGCCCTGTGAACCAGAAAGTCATATCCCCAGACCTGTTAACCAGAAAGTCATATCCCCAGCCCTGTTAACCAGAAAGTCATATCCCCAGCCCTGTTAACTAGAAAGTCATATCCCCAGACCTGTTAACCAGAAAGTCATATCCCCAGCCCTGTGAACCAGAAAGTCATATCCCAAGCCCTGTGAACCAGAAAGTCATATCCCAGACCTGTTAACTAGAAAGTTATATCCCCAGCCCTGTTAACCAGAAAGTCATATCCCCAGCCCTGTTAACCAGAAAGTCATAGCCCCAGACCTGTTAACTAGAAAGTCATATCCCCAGCCCTGTTAACCAGAAAGTCATATCCCAGACCTGTTAACTAGAAAGTCATATCCCCAGCCCTGTTAACCAGAAAGTCATATCCCCAGCCCTGTTAACCAGAAAGTCATAGCCCCAGCCCTGTTAACCAGAAAGTCATATCCCCAGCCCTGTTAACCAGAAAGTCATATCCCCAGCCCTGTTAACTAGAAAGTCATATCCCCAGCCCTGTTAACTAGAAAGTCATATCCCCAGCCCTGTTAACCAGAAAGTCATATCCCCAGCCCTGTTAACTAGAAAGTCATATCCCCAGCCCTGTTAACTAGAAAGTCATATCCCCAGCCCTGTTAACCAGAAAGTCATATCCCCAGCCCTGTTAACCAGAAAGTCATATCCCCAGACCTGTCATATCCCCAGCCCTGTTAACTAGAAAGTCATATCCCCAGCCCTGTGAACCAGAAAGTCATATCCCCAGACCTGTCATATCCCCAGCCCTGTTAACCAGAAAGTCATATCCCCAGACCTGTCATATCCCCAGCCCTGTTAACTAGAAAGTCATATCCCCAGCCCTGTTAACCAGAAAGTCATATCCCCAGACCTGTTAACCAGAAAGTCATATCCCCAGCCCTGTTAACCAGAAAGTCATATCCCCAGCCCTGTTAACTAGAAAGTCATATCCCCAGACCTGTTAACCAGAAAGTCATATCCCCAGCCCTGTTAACCAGAAAGTCATATCCCCAGCCCTGTTAACTAGAAAGTCATATCCCCAGACCTGTTAACCAGAAAGTCATATCCCCAGCCCTGTGAACCAGAAAGTCATATCCCCAGCCCTGTGAACCAGAAAGTCATATCCCAGACCTGTTAACTAGAAAGTCATATCCCCAGCCCTGTTAACCAGAAAGTCATACCCCAGCCCTGTTAACCAGAAAGTCATATCCCCAGACCTGTTAACTAGAAAGTCATATCCCCAGCCCTGTTAACTAGAAAGTCATATCCCCAGCCCTGTTAACCAGAAAGTCATATCCCAGACCTGTTAACTAGAAAGTCATATCCCCAGCCCTGTTAACCAGAAAGTCATATCCCCAGACCTGTCATATCCCCAGCCCTGTTAACTAGAAAGTCATATCCCCAGCCCTGTTAACCAGAAAGTCATATCCCCAGCCCTGTTAACCAGAAAGTCATATCCCCAGACCTGTCATATCCCCAGCCCTGTTAACTAGAAAGTCATATCCCCAGCCCTGTTAACTAGAAAGTCATATCCCCAGCCCTGTTAACCAGGGCTGGGGATTTCATGTTGATTTCAAGGCCTTCTATTTGTCCTCATCCATTTGCCCCTGTGTGTGTGTGTGTTGTTGATTTTGTTTTACTATCCATTATGTTTCCTGTACAATGTGAATGATTGTGATTCGTTGGTAAGTGATGCTATTGATTTGAGGAAATTCTAATATTTGTATTTTTTTAAACCCTCTGTTCCATTTTACTGTTTTACTTATCATATATTATTTCTCCCTTCATGAAATGCCTGTTTTATGCATTTTTCCTTTACACATATTTTGCTAGGTGAAGACTTTGTTTGTTTTTGGATCATCAATCAATAAACATTCAAATAATCGTGGTCCTCTGTAGCTCAGCTGGTAGAGCACGGCGCTTGAAACGCCAAGGTAGTGGGTTCGATCCCCGGGACCACCCATACACAAAAATGTATGCACGCATGACTGTAAGTCGCTTTGGATAAAAGCGTCTGCTAAATGGCATATTATTATTATATTATATCCCCAGACCTGTCATATCCCCAGCCCTGTTAACTAGAAAGTCATATCCCCAGCCCTGTTAACCAGAAAGTCATATCCCCAGACCTGTTAACCAGAAAGTCATATCCCCAGCCCTGTTAACCAGAAAGTCATATCCCCAGCCCTGTTAACTAGAAAGTCATATCCCCAGACCTGTTAACCAGAAAGTCATATCCCCAGACCTGTCATATCCCCAGACCTGTCATATCCCCAGACCTGTCATATCCCCAGACTACAATTAAAGTGCTGTCTAATAGGAGGGAGATGAGTCAGAGTCAACACTGAGTACAGAACTCTTTCATCTGCAATGATTAGAGTCCAGTTACAGAGCACATGTACCCTGGCCATGCCACATTGCCAGCTCTTAAATAACAATGTTTTGTTCAATAGGAATCGTCAAGAACAGGGTCATATTTTCTTGTTAAAATAAATAATATTTTTTAAATGCCAAATATTTGGGAACACAGGCGCAGGGATGAAATTAAAATTGTTGGAGTGCCTGCCAACACAAATGGTGGGAGGAGAGATGGGATTTCCTGTTATGTCGGCCGGGGGACGGAATTCCTCTACTCTGCTCTCCGCTCTCTGTTTTCCTTGGAATGTTGGGCTCTTGTAGCTAATTATTTCTGCCATTCTTTGCATGCCGCTGGTCCTCTGGTTGCTGGGGCTAGGCATCGCAGGCCAGGTGTCTATGGACTTCAACGGGGACAGATACGGAGACTTCTCTGTGATGAGCATGACCAACACAGAGGCGGGCACCTATGAGGTAAGAACAGAACAGGGCCTCAAGCTAATCCTAACCCTCCTGCATGGCCCTTGATCAGGGCCCTTATTCGTATAGCATCTCAGACAAGGAGTGCTGATCTAGGATCAGGTCCCGCTTATTAATAATAATCTAAAAAAGCAAACTGAACCTATAGCACTCCTTCTCTACACCTATGATATAAGAAAATAACAGATAACTTCATCCTGTAACCTCCTGCATCTCCAGTCATCAGATGGGTTTGTTAGATGGCTTAAATCTTTCACAGTGGACCGATAAAACCATATAATGCCATTTGGCTTTGTCAAATGACCCCTTATAGATTCTCTTCATAAAGGACTGTACATTGAAAAACAATGTAACTGGGAATCAAAATGGCGTGCCCCTACTCCAATATTTAACAACAATGCTTTGCAATCTGGAGGGCGGCCTTTTGCGTCCCCCAATGTTCCAAATGTGGAATCCGTACCCTTGTCAATATCATGGATGGTAATGGTTTGAAAAGAATTCCAAGATTTTACATTTACATTTAGATTTGAAAGACACATACACATGACCAGGCAACTCCTTTTTTCTATATTTACAACTTAGGTCAGCTATGCTAGCCTGTGGAGTCCCTTGGGAAACCCAACTACTGAACCATCCGATGATGGAATTTATGAAACAATTATCTGGGCTCCCAAAAGGACCGATCTCCATAGTATACAGTGAGGGGAAAAAAGTATTTGATCCCCTGCTGATTTTGTACGTTTGCCCACTGACAAAGAAATGATCAGTCTATCATTTTAATGGTAGGTTTATTTGAACAGTGAGAGACAGAATAACAACAAAAAAATCCAGAAAAACGCATGTCAAAAATGTTATAAATTGATTTGCATTTTAATGAGGGAAATAAGTATTTGACCCCCTCTCAATCAGAAAGATTTCTGGCTCCCAGGTGTCTTTTATACAGGTAACGAGCTGAGATTAGGAGCACACTCTTAAAGGGAGTGCTCCTAATCTCAGTTTGTTACCTGTATAAAAGACACCTGTCCACAGAAGCAATCAATCAATCAGATTCAAAACTCTCCACCATGGCCAAGGCCAAAGAGCTCTCCAAGGATGTCAGGGACAAGATTGTAGACCTACACAAGGCTGGAATGGGCTACAAGACCATCGCCAAGCAGCTTGGTGAGAAGGTGACAACAGTTGGTGCGATTATTCGCAAATGGAAGAAACACAAAATAACTGTCAATCTCCATCGGCCTGGGGCTCCATGCAAGATCTCACCTCGTGGAGTTGCAATGATCATGGAACGGTGAGGAATCAGCCCAGAACTACACAGGAGGATCTTGTCAATGATCTCAAGGCAGCTGGGACCATAGTCACCAAGAAAACAATTGGTAGCACACTACGCCGTGAAGGACTGAAATCCTGCAGCGCCCGCAAGGTCCCCCTGCTCAAGAAAGCACATATACATGCCCGTCTGAAGTTTGCCAATGAACATCTGAATGATTCAGAGGAGAACTGGGTGAAAGTGTTGTGGTCAGATGAGACCAACATCAAGCTCTTTGGCATCAACTCAACTCGCCGTGTTTGGAGGAGGAGGAATGCTGCCTATGACCCCAATAACACCATCCCCACCGTAAAACATGGAGGTGGAAACATTATGCTTTGGGGGTGTTTTTCTGCTAAGGGGAAAGGACAACTTCACTGCATCAAAGGGACGATGGACGGGGCCATGTACCGTCAAATCTTGGGTGAGAACCTCCTTCCCTCAGCCAGGGCATTGAAAATGGGTCGTGGATGGGTATTCCAGCATGACAATGACCCAAAACACACGGCCAAGGCAACAAAGGAGTGGCTCAAGAAGAAGCACATTAAGGTCCTGGAGTGGCCTAGCCAGTCTCCAGACCTTAATCCCATAGAAAATCTGTGGAGTTAGCTGAAGGTTCGAGTTGCCAAACGTCAGCCTCGAAACCTTAAAGACTTGGAGAAGATCTGCAAAGAGGAGTGGGACAAAATCCCTCCTGAGATGTGTGCAAACCTGGTGGCCAACTACAAGAAACGTCTGACCTCTGTGATTGCCAACAAGGGTTTTGCCACCAAGTACTAAGTCATGTTTTGCAGAGGGGTCAAATACTTATTTCCCTTATTAAAATGCAAATCAATTTATAAAATTTTTGACATGCATTTATCTGGATTTTGTTGTTGTTATTCTGTCTCTCCCTGTACAAATAAACCTACCATTAAAATGATAGACTGATAATTTCTTTGTCAGTGGGCAAACGTACAAAATCAGCAGGGGATCAAATACTTTTTTCCCTCACTGTATAAACAACTTTTGTAAAGCTCATATTCTGAGCTAGTCATTAAAAAGTATGGTCTACAGATCTAAGTGAATCTGAACAACCCTGTAGCCCTTTCCTGCAGTCTATGCCCAAAAGCGCCCTCTTTGGCCTCATGGGTGGAATGTTATTAATGTTTTTAATAATTTCATAATTAATAAAGATACTTTTTAAATAACTTGACAGTGTTTCTATGTCCAACAGTTTTGTTATATTTCAGTCTTCTGTGATGTGTATATAAAGTGTAATATAGGGATATAAACTCAAAATTGAATACATTTCAACTCTATATCTGACATGGTACAGGTGTCTTCTTTTTTCTAAGCCCATATCCATGTGTGTGATGTATACTTTTGTTTCAAAGTAGATTTGTTTAAGACTACCAAGAAACACTGTGTGTGACCCTGATTTAGCCCACTGCAGTAAAAGGTTAATTAGAACAGAATATGGAAAAATATGACTTTGGCATCTCGTAATCCGAACCATCAATTTATACATTTGAAGTTTGTTCACAGACCGTATGGGAGGTTGGGGGAATGGGATGGGATGGGAGGTTGGGGGAATGGGATGGGACGTTGGGGGAATGGGATGGGATGGGAGGTTGGGGGAATGGGATGGGATGGGAGGTTGGGGGGAATGGGATGGGATGTTGGGGGGAATGGGATGGGATGGGAGGTTGGGGGAATGGGATGGGATGGGATGGGAGGTTGGGGGAATGGGATGGGATGGGATGGGAGGTTGGGGGAATGGGATGGGATGGGAGGTTGGGGGAATGGGATGGGATGGGATGGGAGGGTGGGGGAATGGGATGGGATGGGAGGTTGGGGGAATGGGATGGGACGTTGGGGGAATGGGATGGGATGGGAGGTTGGGGGAATGGGATGGGATGGGATGGGAGGTTGGGGGAATGGGATGGGATGGGATGGGAGGTTGGGGGAATGGGATGGGATGGGAGGTTGGGGGAATGGGAAGGGATGTTGAGGGAATGGGATGGGATGTTGGAGGAATGGGATGGGACGTTGGAAGAATGGGATGGGAGGTTGGGGGAATGGGATGGGAGGTTGGGGGAATGGGATGGGACTTTGGAGGACCTGAGCCCTAGGACCATGCCTCAGGACTACCTGGCCTGATGACTCCTGGCTGTCCCCAGTCCACCTGGTTGTGCTGCTGCTCCAGTTTCCACTCTTCTGCCTGCGGCTATGGAACCCTGACCTGTTCACCGGACGTGCTATCTTGTCCCAGACCTTCTGTTTTCAACTCTCTCTCTCTACCGCACCTGCTATTTCAACCTCTAAATGCCCGGCTATGAAAAGCCAAGTGACATTTACTCCTGATGTACTGACCTGTTGCAACCTCTACAACCACTGTGATTATTATTTGACCCTGCTGGTTATCTATAAACGTTTGAACATCTTGGAGAAAAAGATGGCCTTAATGGCCATGTACTGTTATAATCTCCACCCGGCACAGCCAGAAGGGGACTGGCCACCCCTCAGAGCCTGGTTCCTCTCTAGGTTTCTTCCTAAGTTTCTGGCTTTCTAGGGAGTTTTTCCCTAGCCACCATGCTTCTACATCAGCATTGCTTGCGGTTTGGGGTTTTAGGCTGGGTTTTCTGTATAGCACTTTGTGACATCTGCTGATGTAAAAAGGGCTTTATAAATGAATTTGATTGATTGATTGATTGATTGGATGGGATGTTGGAGGGATGGGAGGTTGGTGGAATGGGATGGGAGGTTGGAGGAATGGGATGGGAGGTTGAAGGAATGGGATGGGACGTTGGGGGAATGGGATGGGATGTTGGGGAAATGGGACATTGGGGGAATGGGATGGGACTTTGGGAGAATGGGATGGGAGGTTGGGGGAATGAGACGTTGGGGGAATGGGATGGGATGTTGGGGGAATGGAACGTTGGGGGAATGGGATGGGATTTTGGGAGAATGGGATGGGAGGTTGGGGGAATGGGATGGGACGTTGGAGGAATGGGATGGGAGGTTGGAGGAATGGGATGGGATGTTGGGGAAATGGGACATTGGGGGAATGGGATGGGACTTTGGGAGAATGGGATGGGAGGTTGGGGGAATGAGACGTTGGTTGGGGGAATGAGACGTTGGGGGAATGGGATGGGATGTTGGGGGAATGGAACGTTGGGGGAATGGGATGGGATTTTGGGAGAATGGGATGGGAGGTTGGGGGAATGGGATGGGACGTTGGAGGAATGGGATGGGAGGTTGGAGGAATGGGATGGGATGTTGGGGGAATGGGACATTGGGGGAATGGGATGGGAGGTTGGGGGAATGGGATGGGAGGTTGGGGGAATGGGATGGGAGGTTGGAGGAATGGGATGGGAGGTTGGAGGAATAGGATGGGAGGTTAGGGGAATGGGATGGGATGGGAGGTTGGAGGGATGGGATGGGAGGTTAGGGGAATGGGATGGGATGGGAGGTTGGAGGGATGGGAGGTTGGGGGAATGGGATGGGAGGTTGGAGGAATGGTTTGGATGCTGGAGGGATGGGATGTTGGAGGAATGGGATGGGAGGTTGGGGGAATGGGATGGGAGGTTGGGGGAATGGGATGGGATGGGAGGTTGGGGGAATGGGATGGGGGTTGGGGGAATGGGATGGGAGGTTGGGGGAATGGGATGGGGGTTGGGGGTGGAGGCTCACTTCTTTTAGTTTATTTTCCTTTGCATACTGGTTGTATTGTTACTTTTTGATTCTGTAATATGATCTTAATGATCAATACTTTATATTTATGGACCTTTTTTAAAAATGTTTTTTCTTTTTGAGTGACAGCCAACAGGAAAATGTTAACGGAGTATGAGATTGTATGAGTTTGATTGAGGTTGACTGTTCTTGTTTCAGAGGTGTGTAGCTAATTACTTTGGTGTCTGTGTGTTTTCAGACTGTGTGTAACTACTTTGGTGTGAACGAGAGTTTCCAGATGCTTCCGGTGTTCAACCCGGAACACTTCACCCTGAGAGGACGGCACAGAGTGCACCACGCAGACCTGCCAGACACATCATGTAAATGACCTCTACAGCTTCTCTCTCTGTCTACACACATCAAGCCATGAGATTGAAACACCCATTGTTTTGTCTCAGATGTTTTCTGTAGAGGTTCAGTGCTTGACATGGGACTGAAATAGGTGCCGGTACTGTTTATATTCAGGTGCAGGAGCTCTACAATACTTTAGAGCTAATAAAACAAACAGGAGCTCAAGCCTGCAGGTATTCAGCTCAAGCCTGCAGGTATTCAGCTCAAGCCTGCAGGTATTCAGCTCAAGCCTAAAGGTATTCAGCTCAAGCCTAAAGGTATTCAGCTCAAGCCTAAAGGTATTCAGCTCAAGCCTAAAGTTATTCAGCTCAAGCCTGCAGGTATTCAGCTCAAGCATGCAGGTATTCAGCTCAAGCATGCAGGTATTTGTCTGATGTCGTCCCCTAAGGGCAAACCCCACCCATCTGGCCAATCAAGTTAAAGAATAGTGTAACACAGATGTGTAGCTGAGGTGCTGTTAGCCTAACTAATAGCCTCCCCCTTCCTCTCCAAGCAGGTGGACTAGGAGTATCTGCTGTTACTGGGATCATAGTGGGAGCCCTGCTGGGGACAGCACTGCTCATGGCCTTCTACTTCATCAGGTAAGACAGAACTGACAGATATATGGGGAATACAGACATGACAGCTATAGAAATACAGACATGACAGCTATAGGGGGAATAGAGACATGACAGCTATAGGGGGAATACAGACATGACAGCTATAGGGGGAATACAGACATGACAGCTATAGGAATACAGACATGACAGCTATAGGGGGAATACAGACATGACAGCTATAGGGGGAATACAGACATGACAGCTATAGGGGGAATACAGACATGACAGCTATAGGAGGAATACAGACATGACAGCTATAGGGGGAATACAGACATGACAGCTATAGGGGGAATACAGACATGACAGCTATAGGGGGAATACAGACATGACAGCTATAGGGGGAATACAGGCATGACAGCTATAGGGGGAATACAGGCATGACAGCTATAGGAGGAATACAGACATGACAGCTATAGGAGGAATACAGACATGACAGCTATAGGAATACATACATGACAGCTATAAGGGGAATACAGACATGACAGCTATAGGAATACAGACATGACAGCTATAGGGGGAATACAGACATGACAGCTATAGGGGGAATACAGACATGACAGCTATAGGGGGAATACAGACATGACAGCGATAGGGGGAATACAGACATGACAGCTATAGGGGGAATACAGACATGACAGCTATAGGAGGAATACAGAAATGACAGCTATAGGGGGAATACAGACATGACAGCTATAGGGGGAATACAGACATGACAGCTATAGGTGGAATACAGACATGACAGCTATAGGAATACAGACATGACAGCTATAGGGGGAATACAGACATGACAGCTATAGGGGGAATACAGGCATGACAGCTATAGGGGGAATACAGGCATGACAGCTATAGGGGGAATACAGGCATGACAGCTATAGGAGGAATACAGACATGACAGCTATAGGAGGAATACAGACATGACAGCTATAGGAATACAGACATGACAGCTATAAGGGGAATACAGACATGACAGCTATAGGGGGAATACAGACATGACAGCTATAGGGGGAATACAGACATGACAGCTATAGGGGGAATACAGACATGACAGCTATAGGGGGAATACAGACATGATAGCTATAGGGGGAATACAGCCATGACAGCTATAGGAGGAATACAGACATGACAGCTATAGGGGGAATACAGACATGATAGCTATAGGGGGAATACAGCCATGACAGCTATAGGAGGAATACAGACATGACAGCTATAGGGGGAATACAGACATGATAGCTATAGGGGGAATACAGCCATGACAGCTATAGGGGGAATACAGACATGACAGCTATAGGAATACACACATGACAGCTATAGGAATACAGACATGACAGCTATAGGGGGAATACAGACATGACAGCTATAGGGGGAATACAGACATGACAGCTATAGGGGGAATACAGACATGACAGCTATAGGAGGAATACAGACATGACAGCTATAGGGGGAATACAGACATGACAGCTATAGGGGGAATACAGACATGACAGCTATAGGGGGAATACAGACATGAATGACAGCTATAGGGGGAATACAGACATGACAGCTATATGGGGAATACAGACATGACAGCTATAGGAATACAGACATGACAGCTATAGGGGGAATACAGACATGACAGCTATAGGGGGAATACAGACATGACAGCTATAGGAATACAGACATGACAGCTATAGGGGGAATACAGACATGACAGCTATAGGGGGAATACAGACATGACAGCTATAGGGGGAATACAGACATGACAGCTATAGGAATACAGACATGACAGCTATAGGGGGAATACAGACATGACAGCTATAGGGGGAATACAGACATGACAGCTATAGGGGGAATACAGACATGACAGCTATAGGAATACAGACATGACAGCTATAGGGGGAATACAGACATGACAGCTATAGGGGGAATACAGACATGACAGCTATAGGGGGAATACACACATGACAGCTATAGGAATACAGACATGACAGCTATAGGAATACAGACATGACAGCTATAGGAGGAATACAGACATGACAGCTATAGGGGGAATACAGACATGACAGCTATAGGAATACAGACATGACAGCTATAGGAGGAATACAGACATGACAGCTATAGGGGGAATACAGACATGGCAGCTATAGGGGGAATACAGACATGACAGCTATATGGGGAATACAGACATGAATGACAGCTATAGGGGGAATACAGACATGACAGCTATATGGGGAATACAGACATGACAGCTATAGGAATACAGACATGACAGCTATAGGGGGAATACAGACATGACAGCTATAGGGGGAATACAGACATGACAGCTATAGGAATACAGACATGACAGCTATAGGGGGAATACAGACATGACAGCTATAGGGGGAATACAGACATGACAGCTATAGGGGGAATACAGACATGACAGCTATAGGGGGAATACAGACATGACAGCTATAGGGGGAATACAGACATGACAGCTATAGGAATACAGACATGACAGCTATAGGGGGAATACAGACATGACAGGTATAGGGGGAATACAGACATGACAGCTATAGGAGGAATACAGACATGACAGCTATAGGGGGAATACAGACATGACAGCTATAGGGGGAATACAGACATGACAGCTATAGGAATACAGACATGACAGCTATAGGAATACAGACATGACAGCTATAGGAGGAATACAGACATGACAGCTATAGGAGGAATACAGACATGACAGCTATAGGAATACAGACATGACAGCTATAGGAGGAATACAGACATGACAGCTATAGGGGGAATACAGACATGACAGCTATAGGAGGAATACAGACATGACAGCTATAGGAGGAATACAGACATGACAGCTATAGGGGGAATACAGACATGACAGCTATAGGAGGAATACAGACATGACAGCTATAGGGGGAATACAGACATGACAGCTATAGGAGGAATACAGACATGACAGCTATAGGGGGAATACAGACATGACAGCTATAGGAGGAATACAGACATGACAGCTATAGGAGGAATACAGACATGACAGCTATAGGGGGAATACAGACATGACAGCTATAGGAGGAATACAGACATGACAGCTATAGGAATATAGACATGACAGCTATAGGGGGAATACAGACATGACAGCTATAGGAATACAGACATGACAGCTATAGGAATACAGACATGACAGCTATAGGAGGAATACAGACATGACAGCTATAGGGGGAATACAGACATGACAGCTATAGGGGGAATACAGACATGACAGCTATAGGAGGAATACAGACATGACAGCTATAGGGGGAATACAGACATGACAGCTATAGGAATACAGACATGACAGCTATAGGGGGAATACAGACATGACAGCTATAGGAGGAATACAGACATGACAGCTATAGGGGGAATACAGACATGACAGCTATAGGAGGAATACAGACATGACAGCTATAGGAGGAATACAGACATGACAGCTATAGGGGGAATACAGACATGACAGCTATAGGAGGAATACAGACATGACAGCTATAGGAATATAGACATGACAGCTATAGGGGGAATACAGACATGACAGCTATAGGAATACAGACATGACAGCTATAGGAGGAATACAGACATGACAGCTATAGGGGGAATACAGACATGACAGCTATAGGAATACAGACATGACAGCAATAGGAGGAATACAGACATGACAGCTATAGGGGGAATACAGACATGACAGCTATAGGAGGAATACAGACATGACAGCTATAGGAGGAATACAGACATGACAGCTATAGGGGGAATACAGACATGACAGCTATAGGAGGAATACAGACATGACAGCTATAGGGGGAATACAGACATGACAGCTATAGGAGGAATACAGACATGACAGCTATAGGGGGAATACAGACATGACAGCTATAGGAGGAATACAGACATGACAGCTATAGGAGGAATACAGACATGACAGCTATAGGGGGAATACAGACATGACAGCTATAGGAGGAATACAGACATGACAGCTATAGGAATATAGACATGACAGCTATAGGGGGAATACAGACATGACAGCTATAGGAATACAGACATGACAGCTATAGGAATACAGACATGACAGCTATAGGAGGAATACAGACATGACAGCTATAGGGGGAATACAGACATGACAGCTATAGGAGGAATACAGACATGACAGCTATAGGAATACAGACATGACAGCTATAGGGGGAATACAGACATGACAGCTATAGGAGGAATACAGACATGACAGCTATAGGGGGAATACAGACATGACAGCTATAGGAATACAGACATGACAGCTATAGGGGGAATACAGACATGACAGCTATAGGAATACAGACATGACAGCTATAGGGGGAATACAGACATGACAGCTATAGGGGGAATACAGACATGACAGCTATAGGAATACAGACATGACAGCTATAGGGGGAATACAGACATGACAGATATAGGAATATAGACATGACAGCTATAGGAGGAATACAGACATGACAGCTATAGGGGGAATACAGACATGACAGCTATAGGAATACAGACATGACAGCTATAGGGGGAATACAGACATGACAGATATAGGAATATAGACATGACAGCTATAGGAGGAATACAGACATGACAGCTATAGGAATACAGACATGACAGCTATAGGGGGAATACAGACATGACAGATATAGGAATATAGACATGACAGCTATAGGGGGAATACAGACATGACAGCTATAGGAATACAGACATGACAGCTATAGGGGGAATACAGACATGACAGATATAGGAATATAGACATGACAGCTATAGGGGGAATACAGACATGACAGATATAGGAATATAGACATGACAGCTATAGGGGGAATACAGACATGACAGATATAGGAATATAGACATGACAGCTATAGGGGGAATACAGACATGACAGATATAGGAATATAGACATGACAGCTATAGGGGGAATACAGACATGACAGCTATATGAATACAGACATGACAGCTATAGGGGGAATACAGACATGACAGATATAGGAATATAGACATGACAGCTATAGGAGGAATACAGACATGACAGCTATAGGGGGAATACAGACATGACAGCTATAGGAATACAGACATGACAGCTATAGGGGGAATACAGACATGACAGATATAGGAATATAGACATGACAGCTATAGGAGGAATACAGACATGACAGCTATAGGGGGAATACAGACATGACAGCTATAGGAGGAATACAGACATGACAGCTATAGGGGGAATACAGACATGACAGCTATAGGGGGAATAGAGACATGACAGCTATAGGGGGAATACAGACATGACAGCTATAGGAGGAATACAGACATGACAGCTATAGGGGGAATACAGACATGACAGCTATAGGGGGAATACAGACATGACAGCTATAGGGGGAATACAGACATGACAGCTATAGGAGGAATACAGACATGACAGCTATAGGGGGAATACAGACATGACAGCTATAGGAATACATACATGACAGCTATAGGAGGAATACAGACATGACAGCTATAGGGGGAATACAGACATGACAGCTATAGGAGGAATACAGACATGACAGCTATAGGGGGAATACAGACATGACAGCTATAGGGGGAATAGAGACATGACAGCTATAGGAGGAATACAGACATGACAGCTATAGGGGGAATACAGACATGACAGCTATAGGAGGAATACAGACATGACAGCTATAGGAATACAGACATGACAGCTATAGGAGGAATACAGACATGACAGCTATAGGGGGAATACAGACATGACAGCTATAGGAATATAGACATGACAGCTATAGGGGGAATACAGACATGACAGCTATAGGAATACAGACATGACAGCTATAGGAGGAATACAGACATGACAGCTATAGGGGGAATACAGACATGACAGCTATAGGAATACAGACATGACAGCTATAGGAGGAATACAGACATGACAGCTATAGGGGGAATACAGACATGACAGCTATAGGGGGAATACAGACATGACAGCTATAGGAGGAATACAGACATGACAGCTATAGGGGGAATACAGACATGACAGCTATAGGGGGAATACAGACATGACAGCTATAGGGGGAATACAGACATGACAGCTATAGGGGGAATACAGACATGACAGCTATAGGGGGAATACAGACATGACAGCTATAGGAATACAGACATGACAGCTATAGGAGGAATACAGACATGACAGCTATAGGAGGAATACAGACATGACAGCTATAGGGGGAATACAGACATGACAGCTATAGGAGGAATACAGACATGACAGCTATAGGAGGAATACAGACATGACAGCTATAGGGGGAATACAGACATGACAGCTATAGGAGGAATACAGACATGACAGCTATAGGGGGAATACAGACATGACAGCTATAGGAGGAATACAGACATGACAGCTATAGGGGGAATACAGACATGACAGCTATAGGAGGAATACAGACATGACAGCTATAGGAGGAATACAGACATGACAGCTATAGGGGGAATACAGACATGACAGCTATAGGAGGAATACAGACATGACAGCTATAGGAATATAGACATGACAGCTATAGGGGGAATACAGACATGACAGCTATAGGAATACAGACATGACAGCTATAGGAATACAGACATGACAGCTATAGGAATACAGACATGACAGCTATAGGAATACAGACATGACAGCTATAGGAGGAATACAGACATGACAGCTATAGGGGGAATACAGACATGACAGCTATAGGGGGAATACAGACATGACAGCTATAGGAGGAATACAGACATGACAGCTATAGGGGGAATACAGACATGACAGCTATAGGGGGAATACAGACATGACAGCTATAGGAATACAGACATGACAGCTATAGGAATACAGACATGACAGGTATAGGGGGAATACAGACATGACAGCTATAGGGGGAATACAGCCATGACAGCTATAGGAGGAATACAGACATGACAGCTATAGGAATACAGACATGACAGGTATAGGGGGAATACAGACATGACAGCTATAGGGGGAATACAGCCATGACAGCTATAGGGGGAATACAGACATGACAGCTATAGGAGGAATACAGACATGACAGCTATAGGAATACAGACATGACAGCTATAGGGGGAATACAGACATGACAGCTATAGGGGGAATACAGACATGACAGCTATAGGAATACAGACATGACAGCTGTAGGGTAATCATCACCGTAAACAAAATTACTTGCCTGGTCTAAATAAAAGTGTAATGAATGTGAAGATGAACTCAAAGCCTTTTGTTTTTTTCCTAACAGGAAGAACTACACTATAACCATTGAGAGGCGCACGGCGAGGGAGGAACGTGACATCGGGAAGCGTCGTCAGTTACGAGAAGATTCTATCAGATCTAACTTCTCGGCGGCGTAGAGCGTCACCACGGTTACCGTCTCCGTTCCAGCGAAGCAACGTAGCGCAGAAGGAAGCATCATGGGAAATGTGACCAAAGACTCTACACACTGTCCTCAGAGGAGTCATGCTATTTAAAGAAAGACATACTGTCATTGTTTTGTGTTTTTATTTTTGGTGTTTTAATTTTTTTTTATTTTATTTCATCAACTCAGGAAAGTTACCAGTTACTCAGCACCACTTGCATTACATCTCATCTCTGCAGAAAGATATAGGTCTGTATTCTCCCTTTACGAGGGCCAGCACAGAATGGCTTTGGTATAGTCCAGATCAGAGAGAACTGGTATAGTCCAGATCAGAGATAACTGGTATAGGCCACATCAGAGATAACTGGTATAGGCCACATCAGAGATAACTGGTATAGGCCACATCAGAGATAACTGGTATAGGCCACATCAGAGATAACTGGTATAGTCCAGATCAGAGAGAACTGGTATAGTCCAGATCAGAGAGAACTGGTATAGTCCAGATCAGAGATAACTGGTATAGGCCACATCAGAGATAACTGGTATAGGCCACATCAGAGATAACTGGTATAGGCCACATCAGAGATAACTGGTATAGTCCAGATCAGAGATAACTGGTATAGGCCACATCAGAGATAACTGGTATAGGCCACATCAGAGATACAGTGAGGGAAAAAAGTATTTGATCCCCTGCTGATTTTGTACGTTTGCCCACTGACAAAGACATGATCAGTCTATAATTTTAATGGTAGGTTTATTTGAACAGTGAGAGACAGAATAACAACAACATTTTCCAGAAAAACGCATGTCAAAAATGTTATAAATTGATTTGCATTTTAATGAGGGAAATAAGTATTTGACCCCTCTGCAAAACATGACTTAGTACTTGGTGGCAAAACCTTTGTTGGCAATCACAGAGGTCAGAGGTTTCTTGTAGTTGGCCACCAGATTTGCACACACCTCAGGAGGGATTTTGTTCCACTCCTCTTTGCAGATCTTCTCCAAGTCATTAAGGTTTCAAGGCTGACGTTTGGCAACTCAAAACTTCAGCTCCCTACACAGATTTTCTATGGGATTAAGGTCTGGAGACTGGCTAGGCCACTCCAGGACCTTAATGTGCCTCTTCTTGAGCCACTCCTTTGTTGCCTTGGCCGTGTGTTTTGGGTTATTGTCATGCTGGAATACCCATCCACAACCGATTTTCAATGCCCTGGCTGAGGGAAGGAGGTTCTCACCCAAGATTTGACAGTACATGGCCCCGTCCATCGTCCCTTTGATGTGGTGAAGTTGTCCTGTCAGAAAAACACCCCCAAAGCATAATGTTTCCACATGTTTGACGGTGGGGATGGTGTTCTTGGGGTCATAGGCAGCATTCCTCCTCCTCCAAACACGGCGAGTTGAGTTGATGCCAAAGAGCTCGATTTTGGTCTCATCTGACCACAACACTTTCACCCAGTTCTCCTCTGAATCATTCAGATGTTCATTGGCAAACTTCAGACGGCCCTGTATATGTGCTTTCTTGAGCAGGGGGACCTTGCGGGCGCTGCAGGATTTCAGTCCTTCATGGCGTAGTGTGTTACCAATTGTTTTCTTGGTGACTATGGTCCCAGCTGCCTTGAGATCATTGACAAGATCCTCCCGTGTAGTTCTGGGCTGATTCCTCACCGTTCTCATGATCATTGCAACTCCACGAGGTGAGATCTTGCATGGAGCCCCAGGCTGAGGGAGATTGACAGTTATTTTGTGTTTCTTCCATTTGCGAATAATCGCACCAACTGTTGTCACCTTCTCACCAAGCTGCTTGGGGATGGTCTTGTAGCCCATTCCAGCCTTGTGTAGGTCTACAATCTTGTCCCTGACATCCTTGGAGAGCTCTTTGGTCTTGGCCATGGTGGAGAGTTTGGAATCTGATTGATTGATTGCTTCTGTGGACAGGTGTCTTTTATACAGGTAACAAACTGAGATTAGGAGCACTCCCTTTAAGAGTGTGCTCCTTATCTCAGCTCGTTACCTGTATAAAAGACACCTGGGAGCCAGAAATCTTTCTGATTGAGAGGGGGTCAAATACTTATTTCCCTCATTAAAATGCAAATCAATTTATAACATTTTTGACATGCGTTTTTCTGGATTTTTTTGTTGTTATTCTGTCTCTCACTGTTCAAATAAACCTACCATTAAAATTATAGACTGATAATTTCTTTGTCAGTGGGCAAACGTACAAAATCAGCAGGGGATCAAATACTTTCTTCCCTCACTGTAACTGGTATAGGCCACATCAGAGATAACTGGTATAGGCCACATCAGAGATAACTGGTATAGGCCACATCAGAGATAACTGGTATAGTCCAGATCAGAGATAACTGGTATAGGCCACATCAGAGATAACTGGTATAGGCCACATCAGAGATAACTGGTATAGGCCACATCAGAGATAACTGGTATAGTCCAGATCAGAGATAACTGGTATAGGCCACATCAGAGATAACTGGTATAGGCCACATCAGAGATAACTGGTATAGGCCACATCAGAGATAACTGGTATAGGCCACATCAGAGATAACTGCTATAGACCAGATCAGAGATGGATTGCACATGCATCTCACTTCAATTCACTTGTTGACCAGCGATCTCCTAAAATAGGGTCAACGAAGGCTTTGCAGCTAAAATAATGAACTTGTTTGGAATGGTCTCTAGCTGGTCCAGAGCCATGTGTATAGAGAGTTAGGACATTGAGGTTTATGCATTATGATGCATTTACATGATAGGACAATACTCTGAGTTGATATTTACATAATAATAAGGAATCCCCCTCAACCACGCCCACAAATTGGGGAAAACAAACATCATTTTCTATTGACCCCCAGTGTAAAATATCAATAACATTACATGCCGAAAAGCTGCTGTGTTGTTCAATGTAACCAGGTCAAAAATCCCGACCTATGGTCTGCAATGCTCTCACGTAGGGAAATATAGGGAAATAGAGCCTGCGAGAGGAGCCCTGTGGCTCCAGGCTATTCAACGTGGGAAATGTGGGGAAATAGAGCCTGCGAGAAGAGCCCTGTGGCTCCAGGCTATTCAACGTGGGAAATGTGGGGAAATAGAGCCTGCGAGAAGAGCCCTGTGGCTCCAGGCTATTCAACGTGGGAAATGTGGGGAAATAGAGCCTGCGAGAAGAGCCCTGTGGCTCCAGGCTATTCAATGTGGGAAATGTGGGGACCAGTGTCCTAGTAGGCTACACGTAGCTATGCGTGTGGAAAACATTTAAATCACAGGTAAGACATTTAACTTGTTTAGTATAGTCCGTTTGTAACTCCACTCACTGCTTGTAGCTGTATAGTCAGTTTGTTTTTCCTGGCTAGCTTAATGTTCCGGTCAGTAGCTAGCTAGCAGTCGCTCACTCACTCACTCACTCGTGTGGCTGCTAGCGCTGTTATGAAAAGGGACACGAGGGAAGCCCAACAATATTGAGTTTTTCTAAGTAGTGAGAACGCTTGGGAGCAGGCGATGTTAGCTCCCCATGGGCAATATTGAGTTTTTCTAAGTAGTGAGAACGCTTGGGAGCAGGCGATGTTAGCTCCCCATGGGCAATATTGACAAAAAGCATCCAGTCAGTTGTAGTCCCGTGGGTGAAAACAGCTCGTTGATGAGAGAGGTCAAAGGAGAATGGCAAGAATCGTGCAAGCTAACAGGCGGGTCACAAACACACAAATAACGGAGCAGTACAGTGAACGCACAATTTATCGTTCCTTGTCACCGATGGGCTATAGCGGCAGACGACCACACCGGGTTCCACTCCTATCAGCTAAAAACAAGAAGAAGTGGCTCCAGTGGGCACGCCATCACCAACACTGGACAACTGAGGAGGGGGAAAAAAATGTTTCCTGGTCTGACGAATCCCAGGTCCTGTTGCGTCATGCTGATGTCAGAGTCAGGATTTGGCGTAAGCAGCATGAGTCCATGGCCCTATCCAGCCTGGTGTCAACGGTACAGGCTGGTGTACCGCCGTCCAATCTGTAGCAACTGCGTGATGACATCGCGTCAGCATGGACCAACATCCCTGTGGAACGTTTCCGACTTGTAGAATCCATGCCTGAAGAATTTAGGCTGTTCTGGATGCAAAGGGGGGTCCGACCCGGTAATGGACAATAAACCGGCCAGTGAGTGTATAAGGCGCTGGTCCACACTAAAGGAACAGATCCCAAGCTATTTCAGGAGATGTTTAGTCTTTGTACGCCTGCTAACATGTGTATATACACTGAGTGTACAAAACATTAAGAACACCTGCTCTTTCCATGACATAGACTGACCAGGTGAATCCAGGTGAAAGCTATGATCCCTTATTGATGTCACTTGTTAAATCCACTTCAATCAGTGTAGATGAAGGGGAGGAGACCGGTTAAAGAAGGATTTTTAAGACTTGAGACAATTGAGACATGGATTGTGTATGTGTGTCATTCAGAGGGTGAATGGGCAAGACAAAAGTGCCTTTGAACGGGTTATGGTAGTAGGTGCCAGGCGAACCTGTTTGAGTGTGTCAAGAACTGCCACGCTGCTGGGTCTTTCATGATCAACAGTTTCCCGTGAGTATCAATATTAGGAAAGTGTTGTAAATGTTTTGTATACTCAGTGGATAGAGTACAGATGGTATGTACACTAGATGGTTCTGTTATGGTGTAGTTGGGTATTTATATTTTTCACTCTGAATCAACCAATCAAAGTAAATTATGTAAGTAATACACTTATTATGTAACAATGAATACACTTTGCAATGTAAAATTGTTTGGTAAAAACCTATCTACTTTGCTTATTTTCTAAAGGTTCCTTTCTTGAAAGAATATATGCAAAGGTTATTCTGTAACATACCCTTCCCTCAAACTGAACCAAAAATATAAACGCAACATGTAAAGTGTTGGTCCCATGTTTCATGAGCTGAAATAAAATATCCTAGACATTTTCCATACGCACAAAAAGCTTATTTCTCTCAAATGTTGTGCACACATTTGTTTATATCCCTGTTAGTGAGCATTTCTCATTTGCCAAGATAATCCATCCACCTGACAGGTGTGGCATATCAAGAAGCTGATTAAACAGCATGATCATTACACAGTTGCACCTTGTGCTGGGGACAATAAAAGACCACTCTAAAATGTGCAGTTTTTTCACACAACACAATGCCACATATGTCTCAAGTTTTGAGGGAGCTTGCAATTGGCATGCTGACTGCAGGAATGTCCACCAGAGCTGTTGCCAGAGAATTGAATGTTAATTTCTCTACCATAAGCCGCCTCCAACATCGTTTAAGAGAATTTGGCAGTACGTCCAACCGGCCTCACAACCGCAGACCACGTGTATGGCGTCATGTGGGCGAGCTGTTTGCTGATGTCAACGTTGTGAACAGAGTGCCCCGTGGTGGCGGTGGGGTTATGGTATGGGCAGGCATAAGCTACGGACAACGAACACAATTGCATTTGATCGACGTCAATTTGAATGCCCAGAGACACCGTGACGAGATCCTGAGGCCCATTGTGAGTAATAATAGAAATACAAGATAAAAGATAGTCATATAGTTAAGAACACTTCTGATATGAATACCAGTGCAGTATTAGGGTTAGGGAAGCCTTCAGAAAGTATTCACACTCCTTGACTTATTCCACATTTTGTTGTGTTACAGCCTGAATTCAAAATGGATTAAATTGATTGTTTTTCTCACCCATCTACACAAAATAAAGATGAAGTGAAAACTTGTTTGTAGATTTTTGGGCAAATTTGTTGAAAATGAAATACAAAAAATACCTGGGGGGGCTTTCAATATTTGCACATTATTATTTTCTAAATGGATCATCGCTAGACAGCCATTTTCAAGTCTTGCCATAGATTTTCAAGCCGATTTAAGTCAAAACTGTAACTCGGCCACTCAGGAACATTCACTGTCGTCTTGGTAAGCAACTCCATTGTATATTTGGCCTTGTGTTTTAGTTTATTGTCCTGCTGAAAGGTGAATTAGTCTCTGTGTCTGTTGGAAAGCAGACTGATCCGAGTTTTCCTCTCGGAATTTGAGAGGTGATGACACAGACAAAAATATATATCTGACAAGAGCGGAGCTTCAGGGAGTCTAGTATGACTCTGAAGGCTAGGTGTTTGAATCGAACAAGTGAAATAAGGATGTATGATTTGATGCTCTATTATAACTGATTTGAATGTAATTCCTGTATTTTTTCCAACTTGGAGATGATCTAAAAGGTTTTGTTTTTCAAAGCAGACATTGACAGACATTGAAAATCACCGTCATTCCCTCCAAACATCTAATTTCGGTGGCTGTTTAGTGTTAAATGTCCTAGGGACATTTTAATTACAAAATATGTAGTGTCAGTTGGAAAAATCATAATTTGAAAAATCCCACATCAGACCAGCCAAAAAGTAATCTGGCAAGGCTGGGGTTGGGGGAACACAGAGGCCAGTCACTGCAGGCCTTGCAGAAGGTAAATACATCCACACAGGTCACTGGCAGTCTGCTGTTGAACCAGGGCCAATACTGGGTGATTCAAATGATATAATGCTGATTGGAACCTTTAAAACTACAGTAGTTAAATGAAAAGCCTTCTATTGGAGTGGAACCAATCCCACTCACTGCAACAACATCATATACAGGAGCTATGTCTTAAGGTTTTTCTCCCAATTCCAAAGCAGTTGTCAAACAGCAACGTAAATGCTTACATACAACAGCTCAGTCTCTCTAAGGGTGCCCTCTTAATTAATCATTTATTGTCCTGTTTTAAACTCCATTATCAAATGCATCATAATCGAACAGTACATTTTGAAAGCGATGTTTCTTTACAATGACCAGCAAATTCATTAAGAAATGAAGGGCTAGATTATATGAAGGGCTAGATTATATGAAGGGCTAGATTAAATGAAGGGCTAGATTATATGAAGGGCTAGATTATATGAAGGGCTAGATTATATGAAGGGCTAGATTATATGAAGGGCTAGATTATATGAAGGGCTAGATTATATGAAGGGCTAGATTATATGAAGGGCTAGATTAAATGAAGGGCTAGATTAAATGAAGGGCTAGATTATATGAAGGGCTAGATTATATGAAGGGCTAGATTATATGAAGGGCTAGATTAAATCCGTTGCCTTGAAGATCAGCGCTATAGTTGTATGTTCACGCATTCGTGGAGACTGCATTCATGGTAAATGCTACATATGTCAAATCAAATCAAATCAAATTGTATTGGCCACATGCGCCGAATACAACGGGTGCAGACATTACAGTGAAATGCTTACTTACAGCTCTTAACCAACAGTGCATTTATTTTTAACAAAAAAGTAAAAATAAAACAACAACAAAAAAAGTGTTGAGAAAAAAAGAGCAGAAGTAAAATAAAATAACAGTAGGGAGGCTATATATACAGGGGGGTACCGGTGCAGAGTCATTGTGCGGGGGCACCGGCTAGTTGAGGTAGTTGAAGTAATATGTACATGTGGGCAGAGTTAAAGTGACTATGCATAAATAATTAACAGAGTAGCAGCAGCGTAAAAGGATGGGGTGGGGGGGCAGTGCAAATAGTCAGGGTAGCCATGATTAGCTGTTCAGGAGTCTTATGGCTTGGGGGTAAAAGCTGTTGAGAAGTCTTTTGGACCTAGACTTGGTACTCCGGTACCGCTTGCCGTGCGGTAGCAGAGAGAACAGTCTATGACTAGGGTGGCTGGAGTCTTTGACAATTTTGAGGGCTTTCCTCTGACACCGCCTGGTATAGAGGTCCTGGATGGCAGGAAGCTTGGCCCCAGTGATGTACTGGGCCGTACGCACTACCCTCTGTAGTGCCTTGCGGTCGGAGGTCAAGCAGTTGCCATACCAGGCGGTGATGCAACCAGTCAGGATGCTCTCGATGGTGCAGCTGTAGAATTTTTTGAGGATCTGAGGACCCATGCCAAATCTTTTCAGTCTCCTGAGGGGGAATAGGCTTTGTCGTGCCCTCTTCACGACTGTCTTGGTGTGTTTGGACCATGATAGTTCGTTGGTGATGTGGACACCAAGGAACTTGAAGCTCTCAACCTGTTCCACTACAGCCCCGTCGATGAGAATGGGGGCGTGCTCAGTCCTCTTTTTTTTCCTGTAGTCCACAATCATCTCCTTTGTCTTGGTCACGTTGAGGGAGAGGTTGTTGTCCTGGCACCACACGGCCAGGTCTCTGACCTCCTCCCTATAGGCTGTCTCATCGTTGTCGGTGATCAGGCCTACCACTGTTGTGTCGTCGGCAAACTTAATGATGGTGTTGGAGTCGTGCCTGGCCATGCAGTCATGGGTGAACAGGGAGTACAGGAGGGGACTGAGCACGCACCCCTGAGGGGCCCCCGTGTTGAGGATCAGTGTGGCAGATGTGTTGTTACCTACCCTTACCACTTGGGGGCGGCCCGTCAGGAAGTCCAGGATCCAGTTGCAGAGGGAGGTGTTTAGTCCCAGGATCCTTAGCTTAGTGATGAGCTTTGAGGGCACTATGGTGTTGAACGCTGAGCTGTAGTCAATGAATAGCATTCTCACGTAGGTGTTCCTCTTGTCCAGGTGGGAAAGGGCAGTGTGGAGTGCAATAGAGATTGCATCATCTGTGGATCTGTTGGGGCGGTATGCAAATTGGAGTGGGTCTAGGGTTTCTGGGATAATGCTGTTGATGTGAGCCATGACCAGCCTTTCAAAGCACTTCATGGCTACAGATGTCAGTGCTACGGGTCGGTAGTCATTTAGGCAGGTTATCTTAGAGTCCTTGGGCACGGGGCTCAATCGAAAAATTACTATAGAGTAGATGTTCAGCGCTACAGATGGAATCTAGGCCTAAAGAGCCATAAACAATCCATGTATAGGCAGCCATTTAGGCGTACCCTGACTTCAGACACTCCGGTGAACCCCCAACATCAAACAGTTCTGGGGAAAAGTTTATATTTCACTTTGTCAGTTGTTACAAACAATACTAGTCGCCCACACACAGACACACACACACACACACACACACTGACAAAATTGTGATCTAAACATCTCCATCTTGGAAAATATCAAATAGCTTCCAGCTTTAATAAGTCATCAGGGGACATCCTGAAACAATGTCCGTTCCTCTCTAGTATCTCCTGTAAGGTTTGGTGGTCCTTACTTTGGTGTGTTCTCTGATCTTCTCACCGTTCATTGAGGTGAAAAGATATTGGCCCGGGGATTTCATCAGATAGCCCCTGTTTGGCACATTATAAAGGCAGTGTTCACCCGTTAGCGGAGGTTAGCATTCACAGTAAACACTGCTGTGACGAGGTATGAAATACAGAGGTAAAACACCGAAGTCCAGAGTTTATTCCTTTTACATAAATCGAACGCTCCCAGCGTGAAAACGAAACTATACCAAGGGAAAACCTTCCTTCTAGGCGAGTACAACATGAAGAGTAGCTCGACCGAGCTACTCGCTCTCACACTCAACAATCACTCACAAAGACAAGGGGAACAGAGGGAACACTTATACACATACTAATTAGGGGAATGAGCACCAGGTGTGCGTGATTGACAAGACATGACAAGTGGAGTGATGAGAATGCGATCGGCAGTAGCTAGTACTCCGGTGACGACGAACGCCGAAGCCTGCCCGAACCAGGAGGAGGGGCAGCCTCGGCGGAAGTCGTGACAACTGCATATGTCGGCTCTATAGGAAATTACCTTTAACTATCAAGAGGATCTAGCTTGAATCGGTTTGAATCCAGTCATTTGTCATTTTCTCACATTATATCACAAGGACAAAAGGAACCCAGTTGTGTCAGCAAATTCACTACGTTACCCACGTCTACACCAAATACATGCACTGTCACGATCGTCAGGGAGAGACCAATGCGCAGCGTGATGAACGAACATGGTTAACTTTATTATCTTTAGTGATAATAGAAACAATAAACAAAACAAGAAACGACTCGTGAAGTCCACGGTAACAATGACCGAACACGGAACAAAAACCCACAAACACAAAGGGAAAAACAGACAGTTAAATATGGCTCCCAATCAGAGACAACCAGCCAACAGCTGACACTCGTTGCCTCTGATTGGGAGTCACTCAGGCAAACATAGAAAATCAACAAACTAGAACCCCCAACATAAACATATAACACATAGAATAAACACACCCTGGCTCAACAAATAGAGTCCCAGAGCCAGGGTGTGACATGCACCGCGCCTCAATAAGAGCAAAACAGGGGAGGGCTGGGTGGGCATACCTCCTCGGCGGCGGTTCTGGCTCCGGCCTTGCCCACCACCCTCCAACAAACCCCCCATAGCGCCCCTGGTCCGGTCTGGCCCCGCTGGCTGGAGCTGGACTGGACGTAGCAGGAGCGGTTAGCTTCAGCTCCGTAGTGGAGCCGTTGACCGGTACCTGGTTAGGCACCGGTGACCCAGGCACGGGTTGTGCCGGACAGACGACGCGCACCCCTGGCTTGGTGCGTGAGGCAGGAAAGGACCGGACCTGGCTGACGATGCGCACCCCTGGCTTGGTGCGTGGAGCAGCAACGGGCCGGACCGGGCTGACGATACGCACCCCTGGCTTGGTGCGTGGAGCCGGAACGGGCCTCACCGGACTGACGACTCGCACCCCTGGCTTGGTGCATGGAGCAGCAACGGGCCGGACCGGGCTGACGATGCGCACCCCTGGCTTGGTGCGTGGAGCCGGAACGGGCCTCACCGGACTGACGACTCGCACCCCTGGCTTGGTGCGTGGAGCAGCGACGGGCCTTACCAGGCTGACGACTCGCACCCCTGGCTTGGTGCGAGTAGCAGGAACGGGCTGGACCAGGCTGACGACTCGCACCCCTGGCTTGGTGCGAGTGGCAGGAACGGGCTGGACCAGGCTGACGACTCGCACCCCTGGCTTGGTGCGAGTAGCAGGAACGGGCTGGACCAGGCTGACGACTCGCACCCCTGGCTTGGTGCGAGTGGCAGGAACGGGCTGGACCAGGCTGACGACTCGCACCCCTGGCTTGGTGCGAGTGGCAGGAACAGGCCGGGCCGGGCTGGCGACGCGCACCGTAGACTTGGTGCGAGTGGCAGGAACAGGCCGGGCCGGGCTGGCGACGCGCACCGTAGACTTGGTGCGAGTGGCAGGAACAGGCCGGGCCGGGCTGGCGACGCGCACCGTAGGCTTGGTGCGTGGAGCAGGGACAGGCCGGACCGGGCTGGCGACGCACACCGTAGTCTTGGTGCGTGGAGCAGGGACAGGCCGAACCGGGCTGTGGAGACGGATAGGAGACCTGGAGTGAAGAGCGGCCACAACCCGTCCTGGCTGAATGCCTACCTTCACACACTCTGTGTGAGGCATCCGCACAGGACGTACAGGGCTGTGTACCCGTACTGGCATAACAGCACGTGACACTGGAGCAGGATATCCGGGACCGCGGAGAGGCATTGGAGACCACGAGCGTTGAGCCGGCACACTCCGTCCTGGCTGCATACCCACCTTCGCACGACACGTGCGGGGTGCTCGCACAGGACGTACAGGACTATGCCGGACCACTCGTGGCACAGTACGCCGCTCCGCATACCGCGGAACCTGCCCCGTCCCATGCTGCCATGCCTGAGTACGGGACGTTGGTTCCGCTCTCCATCCAGGCTCCGCCAACCTGCCTTCTGGCCCCCCAAACCCGGTGGCCTTCTCTCCAAATCGCCCTGTGGCAGCCTCCTGCTGCCCAGCCGCCCATGCCGTGTGCCCCCCCCTAAAAATGTTTTGGGGTTGCCTCTCGTCCTTCCGACGATGACACTGCTGACGCCGCTGCTCCTCTCTCGCCAGGGCCTTAATCCTTGCCCATGGCCCTTTGCCCCCGAGCATGTCCTCCCAGGACCACGATTTGCCCACCTGGGCCATCGCCAGCCTCTCCATCTCCTTTCCCGGCTCTTCCTCCCATGTCCAGTCTGCCTGTTCCTGGACACGCTGCTTGGTCCTGGTACGGTGGGTTTTTCTATCACGATCGTCAGGGAGAGACCAATGCGCAGCGTGATGAACGAACATGGTTAACTTTATTATCTTTAGTGATAATAGAAACAATAAACAAAACAAGAAACGACTCGTGAAGTCCACGGTAACAATGACCGAACACGGAACAAAAACCCACAAACACAAAGGGAAAAACAGACAGTTAAATATGGCTCCCAATCAGAGACAACCAGCCAACAGCTGACACTCGTTGCCTCTGATTGGGAGTCACTCAGGCAAACATAGAAAATCAACAAACTAGAACCCCCAACATAAACATATAACACATAGAATAAACACACCCTGGCTCAACAAATAGAGTCCCAGAGCCAGGGTGTGACATGCACAAGCTTCCATAAACAGTCCTCCAAATATGAGGGTTATTGAAAACGCGATAAACTTTCTCGTCCCCAATAAGAGGTGTCTCAATGTCTCTCAAATGTCTTCTCAGACTTGTATGATTTATCAGTTTGTATGATAATGAATTTTCTAGAAAAGCTACATGAAACTAGTGATGAGGACATGTACTGATTTAAGTAAAGTACCTGCATATAATGTGATGTTATTTATGGTTAGCTTTTTGTAGAAATGTAATATTTGAGTGTGTATTTAAACCCTCTAGTTTTGTGTAATATACTGTATTCTTTTTGATGACACATTATTTAGAAATATCTGCCTTTTACAGACTATATATATATATATATATATATCTTGATAAATATGTTGACATGGATTTTTAAGACATATATGGCAGAAATATAGACAAATAAAATGTAAAAAGTAGTTTGTCCCATTGTTGCTTATTTGAACAGGTTTGCTTGGTGTCAAAAGCATCACTATTCATGGATTGCAAGTTTCGTCACAATATTGTTTTGGACGTTCGTTTTAGGTTTGATGTTTTGGACGTTCGTTTTAGGTTTGATGGCCCACTGAACATTCTACTCAACGCATCCCCATTGGCCGCTGATGAAGAGTTGGTCTAAAGTTCATTACTGTGGCTTGAAGACACGATGACGTTTCCAAAGGAGGCAAATAATTAGTAGGAAAACCTTTTGTCATAATTTTGATGGCGCCAGATTGACTTTAAATGCAGTATAATGTTAGCTAGCTAGCTAAGATTGAGGGGAGACCACTGGATAATAGCTAACGTTAGCATTGCTAGCTATTTTTGACTAACTTTGCTAGCTATTGACAACTTTGTCATCTGTCTAAAGTCAATTTGACGACACATTTTTTCAGACTAAATAGGTGCCTACTTTATGTAATGGTATTCCCAAGCCCCTATGGTAAGTCAATTTGCAAGTACTGTACTGCAAGGAGACTAGACTGTACTGCAGGGAGACTAGACTGTACTGCAGGGAGACTAGACTGTACTGCAGGGAGACTAGACTGTACTGCAGGGAGACTAGACTGTACTGCAGGGAGACTAGACTGTACTGCAGGGAGACTAGACTGTACTGCAGGGAGACTAGACTGTACTGCAGGGAGACTAGAATGTACTGCAAGGAGACTAGACTGTACTGCAGGGAGACTAGAATGTACTGCAGGGAGACTAGACTGTACTGCAGGAGACTAGACTGTACTGCAGGGAGACTAGAATGTACTGCAGGGAGACTAGATGTACTGTAGGGAGACTAGAATGTACTGCAGGGAGATGGCTTTCCTGCAGGGAGACTAGATGTACTGTAGGGAGACTAGACTGTACTGCAGGGAGACTAGACTGTACTGCAGGGAGACTAGACTGTACTGTAGGGAGACTAGACTGTACTGCAGGGAGACTAGACTGTACTGCAGGGAGACTAGACTGTACTGGAAGGAGACTATAATGTACTGCAGGGAGACTAGACTGTACTGCAGGGAGACTAGAATGTACTGCAGGGAGACTAGACTGTACTGCAAGAAGACTAGACTGTACTGCATCGAGAATAGACTGTACTGCAGGGAGACTAGACTGTACTGGAAGGAGACTAGACTGCACTGCATGGAGACTAGACTGTACTGCAAGAAGACTAGACTGTACTGCAAGAAGACTAGACTGTACAGGAAGGAGACTAGACTGTACTGCAAGGAGACTAGACTGTACTGCAGGGAGACTAGACTGTACTGGAAGGAAACTAGACTGCACTGCAGGGAGACTAGACTGTACTGCAGGGAGACTAGACTGTACTGAAGGGAGTCTAGACTGTACTGCAAGGAGACTAGACTGTACTGTAGGGAGACTAGACTGTACTGTAGGGAGACTGTACTGCAGGGAGACTAGACTGTACTGGAAGGAGACTAGATTGTACTGCAGGGAGACTTGCCTGTACTGGAAGGAGACTAGAATGCAATGCAGGGAGACTAAACTGTACTGCAGGGAGACTAGACTGTACTGCAGGGAGTCTAGACTGTACTGGAAGGAGACTAGACTGTACTGGAAGGAGACTAGACTGCACTGCAGGGAGACTAGACTGTACTGCAGGGAAACTAGACTGTACTGCAGGGAGACTAGACTGTACTGCAAGGAGACTAGACTGTACTGCAGGGAGACTAGACTGTACGGGAAGGAGACTAGACTGTACTGCAGGGAGACTAGACTGTACTGCAGGGAGACTAGACTGTACTGGAAGGAGACTAGACTGCACTGCAGGGAGACTAGTCTGTACTGCAGGGAGACTAGACTGTACTGAAGGGAGTCTAGACTGTACTGCAAGGAGACTAGACTGTACTGTAGGGAGACTAGACTGTACTGTAGGGAGACTAGACTGTACTGGAAGGAGACTAGACTGTACTGCAGGGAAACTAGACTGTACTGTCGGGAGACTGTACTGCAAGGAGACTAGACTGTACTGCAGGGAGACTAGACTGTACTGGAAGGAGACTAGATTGTACTGCAGGGAAACTAGACTGTACTGTCGGGAGACTGTACTGCAAGGAGACTAGACTGTACTACAGGGAGACTAGACTGTACGGGAAGGAGACTAGACTGTACTGCAGGGAGACTAGACTGTACTGCAGGGAGACTGTACTGGAAGGAGACTAGACTGCACTGCAGGGAGACTAGTCTGTACTGCAGGGAGACTAGACTCTACTGAAGGGAGTCTAGACTGTACTGCAAGGAGACTAGACTGTACTGTAGGGAGACTAGACTGTACTGTAGAGAGACTAGACTGTACTGGAAGGAGACTAGACTGTACTGCAGGGAAACTAGACTGTACTGTCGGGAGACTGTACTGCAAGGAGACTAGACTGTACTGCAGGGAGACTAGACTGTACTGGAAGGAGACTAGATTGTACTGCAGGGAGACTTGACTGTACTGGAAGAAGACTAGACTGCACTGCAGGGAGACTAGACTGTACTGCAGGGAGACTAGACTGTACTGCAGGGAGTCTAGACTGTACTGGAAGGAGACTAGACTGTACTGGAAGGAGACTAGACTGCACTGCAGGGAGACTAGACTGTACTGCAGGGAGACTAGACTGTACTGCAGAGAGACTAGACTGTACTGCAGGGAAACTAGACTGTACTGCAGGGAGACTAGACTGTACTGCAAGGAGAATAGACTGTACTGCAGGGAGACTATACTGTACGGGAAGGAGACTAGACTGTACTGCAGGGAGACTAGACTGTACTGCAGGGAGACTAGACTGTACTGGAAGGAGACTAGACTGCACTGCAGGGAGACTAGACTGTACTGCAGGGAGACAAGACTGTACTGGAAGGAGACTAGACTGTACTGCAGGGAGACTAGACTGTACTGGAAGGAGACTAGACTGTACTGCAGGGAGACTAGACTGTACTGCAGGGAGACTAGACTGTACTGCAGGGAGACTAGACTGTACTGCAGGGAGACTAGACTGTACTGCAGAGAGACTAGACTGTACTGCAGGGAACTAGACTGTTTACTGCAGGAAGACTAGACTGTACTGCAGGAGCTTAGGACGTAGTGCAGGGAGACTATACTGTACGGGAAGGAAAACTAGACTGTACTTGCAGGGAGACTAGACGTACTGCAGGGGAGACTAGAACTGTGCTGGAGGAGAGTCTACTGGAAGGGAGACTAGACTGTACTGCAGGAGACTAGACTGTACTGCCAGGGAGACTAGACTTGTACTTGAAGGAGGACTAGAATGCACTGCGGGAGACTAGACTGTACTGCAGGGAGGAGACTAGACTGTACTGGAAGGAGACTAAAACTGTACTGCAGGGAGACTAGACTGTACTGGAGGAGACCAGACTGTACTGCAGGGAGAGACTAGAAGTACTGCAGGGTTAAGACTGTACTGCAGGGAGACTAGACGTACTGGAAGGAGACTGACTGTACGCAGGGAGACTAGACTGTACTGCAGGGATACGAGACTTGTACTGCAGGGAGACTAGAATGTACTGCAGGGAGACTAGATGTACTGCCAGGGGAGGAGACTAGACTGTACTGCAGGGAGACTAGACGGTATGAAGGAGGACTAGACTGTATGCAGGGAGACTCAGGACTGTACTTCAGGGAGACTAGACTGTACTGCAGGGATACGAGACTGACTTGCAGGGAGACAGACTGTACTGGAAGGACGACTAGGACGGCACTGCAGGGAGACTAGACTGTACTGGAAGGAGACTTGACTGTACTGCAGGGAAACTAGACTGTACTGTAGGGAGACTAGACTGTACTGTAGGGAGACTGTAATGGAAGGAGACTAGAATGTACTGCAGGGAGACTAGATGTATACTGCAGGGAGACAGACTCTACTGCAGGGAGACTAGATGGACTGAAGGGAGACTAGACTGTACTGCAGGGGGACTGTACTGCATGGAGAATAGACTGTACTGCAGGGAGACTAGACTTACTGAAGGGAATGAATGTACTGCAGGGATACTAGAAATGTACTGAAAGGGAGACTAGACTGTACTGCAGGGATACTGTACTGCATGGAGACTAGACTGTACTGCAGGGAGACTAGACTGTACTGAAGGGAGACTAGACTGTACTGGAAGGAGACCCAGACTGTACTGCAGGGATACTGGAATGTACTGAAGGGAGACTAGACTGTACTGGAAGGAGACTAGACTGCACTGCAGGGAGACTAGACTGTACTGAAGGGAGACTAGACTGTACTGGAAGGAGACTAGACTGTACTGGAAGGAGACTAGACTGTACTGCAGGAAAACTAGACTGTACTGTAGGGAGACTAGACTGTACTGCTAGGAGACTAGACTGTACTGCAGGGAGACTGTACTGGAAGGAGACTAGAATGTACTGCAGGGAGACTAGACTGTACTGCAGGGAGACTAGAATGTACTGCATGGAGACTAGACTGTACTGCAGGGAGACTAGGCTCTACTGCAAGGAGACTAGACTGTACTGCAGGGAGACTACACTGTACTGCAGGAGACTAGGGGGGGACCTGTACTGCACGGAGGGACTAAACTGTACTGGAAGAGAACTAGACTGCCGAAGGGGAGACTAGACTGCACTGCAGGGAGACTAGACTGTATGCAAGGAGACTAGACTGTTACCTGCGGAGACTAAGATGTAGAAGGGCGGGACTAGAGGTTACTGGAAGGAGAATAGACTGTAAGGAAGGGATAAGACTGTACTGCAGGGAGGATTTAATGCAAGGGAGACTGACTGTACTGCAGGGAGAACTAGACTGTAATGAAGGGAGGAGAGACTAGACTGTACTGGAAGGAGACTAGACTGTACTGGAAGGAGACTAGACAGTACTGCAGGGAGACTGTACTGCAAGGAGACTAGACTGTACTGTAGGAAGACTGTACTGCAGGGAGACTAGACTGTACTGCAAGGAGAATGGACTGTACTGCAGGGGACTAGGACTGTACTGCCGGGAGACTAGACTGGTACTGTAGGGAGCCTGTACTGAAGCCAGCGAGCACTAGACTGTACTGCAAGGAGACTAGACTATACTGCAAGGAGGACTAGATGACTGCCAGGGAGACTACACTGTACTGCAGGGAGGGATACACGGTACGGCAGGAGACTAGACTGTACTGCAGGGACACTAGAATGTACTGCAGGGAGACTAGAATGTACTGCAGGGAGACTAGACTGTACTGCAGGGAGACTAGAATGTACTGTAGGGAGACTAGACTGTACTGTAGGGAGACTAGACTGTACTGCAGGGAGACTGTACTGGATGGAGACTAGAATGTACTGCAGGGAGACTAGACTGTACTGCAGGGAGACTAGACTGTACTGCAGGGAGACTAGAATGTACTGCAGGGAGACTAGAATGTACTGCAGGGAGACTAGAATGTACTGCAGGGAGACTAGACTGTACTGGAAGGAGACTAGACTACACTGCAGGGAGACTAGACTGCACTGCAGCGAGACTAGATGACTGGAAGGAGACTAGACTGTACTGCAAGGAGACTAGACTGTACTGCAAGGAGACTAGACTGTTCTGGAAGGAGACTGTACTGCAAGGAGACTAGACTGTACTGTAGGGAGACTAGACTGTACTGTAGGGAGACTGTACTGCAGGGAGACTAGACTGTACTGCAAGGAGACTAGACTGTACTGCAGGGAGACTAGACTGTACTGTAGGGAGACTAGACTGTACTGCAGGGAGACTAGACTGTACTGCAGGGAGACTAGACTGTACTGCAAGGAGACTAGAATGTTCTGCAGGGGAGACTAGACTGTACTGCAGGGAGACTAGACTGTACTGCAGGGAGACTAGAATGTACTGCAGGGAGACTAGACTGTACTGGAAGGAGACTAGACTGTACTGCATGGAGACTAGACTGTACTGCAGGGAGACTAGACTGTACTGCAGGGAGACTAGACTGTACTGCAGGGAGACTAGACTGTACTGCAGGGAGACTAGAATGTACTGCAGGAGACTGACTAGACAGTACTGCAGGGAGACTAGACTGTACTGTAGGGAGACTAGACTGTACTTTAGGGAGACTAGACTGTACTGTAGGGAGACTAGACTGTACTGGAAGGAGACTAGACTGTACTGTAGGGAGACTAGACTGTACTGCAGGGAGACTAGACTGTACTGCAGGGAGACTAGACTGTACTGGAAGGAGACTAGAATGTACTGTAGGGAGACTAGACTGTACTGCAGGGAGACTAGAATGTACTGCAGGGAGACTAGACTGTACTGCAAGGAGACTAGACTGTACTGCAGGGAGACTAGACTGTACTGCAGGGACACTAGACTGTTACTGCAGGGAGGACTAGAATGTACTGCAGGGAGACTAGACTGTACTGCGGGAGACTAGGACTGTACTGCAGGGAGCAGACTGTAATGACGCAGGGAGACCAGGAACTGTACTGCAGGGAGACTAGACTGTACTGTAGGGAGACTAGACTGTACTGTAGGGAGACTAGACTGTAGGGAGGAGACTAGACTGTACTGCAGGGAGACTGTACTGGATGGAGACTAGAATGTACTGCAGGGAGACTAGACTGTACTGCAGGGAGACTAGACTGTACTGCAGGGAGACTAGACTGTACTGCAGGGAGACTAGACTGTACTGCAGGGAGACTAGAATGTACTGCAGGGAGACTAGAATGTACTGCAGGGAGACTAGAATGTACTGCAGGGAGACTAGACTGTACTGGAAGGAGACTAGACTGCACTGCAGGGAGACTAGACTGCACTGCAGGGAGACTAGACTGTACTGGAAGGAGACTAGACTGTACTGCAAGGAGACTAGACTGTACTGCAAGGAGACTAGACTGTTCTGGAAGGAGACTGTACTGCAAGGAGACTAGACTGTACTGTAGGGAGACTAGACTGTACTGTAGGGAGACTGTACTGCAGGGAGACTAGACTGTACTGCAAGGAGACTAGACTGTACTGCAAGGAGACTGATGACTGTACTGTAGGGAAACTAGACTGTACTGTCAGGGAGACTAGACTGTTACTGCAGGGAGACTAGACTGTACTGCAAGGAGACTAGAATGTACTGCAGGGAGCCTAGACTGTACTGCAGGGAGACTAGACTGTACTGCAGGGAGACTAGAATGTACTGCAGGGAGACTAGACTGTACTGGATGGAGACTAGACTGTACTGCATGGAGACTAGACTGTACTGCAGGGAGACTAGACTGTACTGCAGGGAGACTAGACTGTACTGCAGGGACTAGACTGTACTGCAGGGAGACTAGAATGTACTGCAGGGAGACTAGAATGTACTGCAGGGAGACTAGACTGTACTGCAGGAGACTAGACTGTACTGCAGGGAGACTAGAATGTACTGTAGGGAGACTGTACTGCAGGGAGACTAGACTGTACTGCAGGGAGACTAGACTGTACTGTAGGGAGACTAGAATGTACTGCAGGGAGACTAGAATGTAATGCAGATGGGAGGACTAGGGACTGTACTGAGGGAGATTAGACTGCTACTTGTAGGGAGGACTAGAATGTTACTGCAGGGAGACTAGAATGTACTTGCAGGGAGACTAGAATGTACGCAGGGAGACTTAGACTGTACTGCAGGGGAGACTAGACGGTACGGAAGGGAGATTAGACTGACTGTAGGGAGACGACTGTATGCAGGGAGAATAGACTGTACTGCAGGAGACTAGGACTGTACTGGAAGGGAATTATAAGTACTGCAGGGAGACTCCGACGTACTGCAGGGAGACTAGATGTACTGCAGGGAGACTAGACTGTACGCAAGAGACTAGACTGTACTGCATCGGAGGAGTGACTGTACGGCAGGGAGACTAGACTGTACTGGAAGGGACTAGACGCACGCATTGGAGACTAGACTGTACGCAAGAAGATAGACTGTACTGCAAGAAGGACTAGAATGTACAGGAAGGGGAGAATAGACTGTACGGCAAGGAGACTAGACTGTACTGCAGGGATAGACTGTACTGGAAGGAAACTAGATGCACTGCAGGGAGACGTAGACTGTAATGCAGGGAGGACTAGACTGTACTGAAGGGAGTCTAGCTGTACTGCAAGGAGGACTAGACTGTATGTGGGGACTGACTGTACTGTAGGGAGACTGTACTGCAGGGAAACTAGACTGTACGTAGGGAGACTGTACTGCAGGAGACTAGACTGTACTGGAAGGAGACTAGATTGTACTGCAGAACTGCCTGTACTGGAAGGAGACTCTAGACTGCAATGCAGGAGGAGACTAATACTGTACTGCAGGGGAGGGACTAGGGAATGTACTGCAGGGGGTCTAGACTGTACTGGAAGGAGACTAGTAGACTGTACTGGAAGGAGCCTTAGGACTGCACTGCAGGAGATAGGACTGTACTGCAAGGAGACGTAGACTTACTGCAGAGAGACTGTACTGCAGGGAATAGGACTGTACTGCAAGGAGGACTAGACTGTACTGTAGGGAGACTATAGGATGTACGGTAGGGAGGACTGTACTGCAGGGAGGAAAAATAGACTGTACTGTCGGGAGACTGTACTGCAAGGGGGGACTAGACTGTACTGCCGGGAGACTAGGGACTGTACTGGAAGAGACTAGATTGTACTGCAGGGAGAACTTGGACTTGTACTGGAAGAGACTAGACTGCACTGAAGGGAGACTAGACTGTACTGAGGGAGACTAGACTGTACTGCAGGGCAGTCCTAGACTGATGGAAGGAGACTAGACTGTACGGAAGGAGGACTAGACTGCACTGCAGGAGACTATACTGTACTGAAGGGAGACTAGACTGTATGCAGAGGAGACTAGACTGTACTGCAGGAAAACTCGACTGTACTGCAGGGAGACTAGGGACTGTCCTGCAGGAGAAAAACTGTACTGCAGGGAGACTATTACGGGTACGGCAGGAGACTATAGCCGTACTGAGGGAGAACTAGACTGGACTGCAGGGAGACTAGACTGTTACTGGAAGGAGACTAGACTGCACTGAGGGAGACTAGACTATACTGCAGGGAGGGGACAAGGGACGTAATGGAAGGAGACAGACTTACTGCAAGGAGACTAGACGGTACTGGAAGGAGACTAGAATTGACTGCAGGAGGGACTAGACTGTATGAGGGAGACTAGACTGTACGCAGGGAAGATAGACTGTACTGCAGGGAGAATAGACTGTTTACTGCAGAGAGACTAGACTGTACTGCAGGGGGAGGCAAACTAGACTGTACGCAGGGAGACTAGACGTACTGCAAGGAGGGACTAGACGTAACTGCAGGGAGGAGGAGGACTATACGGTAACGGCAGGAAACTAGACTGTACTGCAGGGGATGACTAGGGGACTGTACTGCAGGGGAGCTAGACTGTACTGGAAGGAGAGTCTACTTGCAGGGAGACTAGGGACGTTACTCAGGGAGACTAGACTGTACTCGAACGAGTAACTAGGACTTTAATGCAGGGAGATAGATGCTACTGCAGGGAGACTAGAATGTACGTAGGGAGACTTGTACGGCAGGGAGACAGACTTTACTGCAGGGAGAATAGGACTGTTGTAGGGAGACTAGAATGGTTACTGCAAGGGAGAGAGAATGTACTGCAGGGAGACTAGACTGTACTGCAGGGCGAGACTAGACTGTACTGTAGAGAGACTAGAAGGACTGCAGGGAGACTAGAATGACTGCAGGGAGGACTAGAAGTCCTTGCAGGGAGATAGACTGTACGCAGGGAGACTATACTGTACTGCAGGAGACTTAGACTGTACTGTAGGGAGATAGACGTACTCAGGAGACTAGACTTACTGCAGGGAGACCTAGACTGTACTGAAGGAGACAGAATGTACTGAAGGGAGGACTAGACTGACTGCATGGAGACTAGAATGGACTGCAGGGAGACTGACTGTACTGCAACGGAAGACTAGCTGTACTGAATCGGACTGACTGTAACTGCAGGAGACTAGGACTGGTACTGGAAGGAGACTTAGACTGCCCCTGCATGGAGACTAGACCTGTACTGCAAGAAGACTATACTGTACTGCAAGAAGACTAGACTGTACAGGAAGGAGACTAGACTGACTGCAAGGAGGCCCGTAGACTGTACTGCAGGGAGAATAGCACTGTATGGAGAAGGAAACTAGACTGCACTGCAGGGAGACTCGACTGTACTGCAGGGAGAACTATAGCTGTACTGAAAGGAGACTAGACTGCACTGCAGGGAGGACTAGACTGTACTGCAAGGAGAATTAGACTGTAATGCAGAGAGGACTGTACGCAGGGGGATAGACTGTACTTCAAGGAGACTAGGACTGTCTGAGGGAGACTAGGGACGGTAACTGTTAGGAGACTGTACTGCAAGGGAACTAGACTGTACTGTCGGGAGAGACGGTACTGCAAGGAGCTAGACTGTACTGCAGGGAGACTAGACTGTACTGGAAGGAAGAGAATAGATTGTACTGAAGGGGGACTTGACTGTACGGAAGAAGACTAGACGGCCACTGCAGGGAGATAGATGTACTGCAGGGGAGACTAGACTGGACTTGAAGGGAGTCTAGACTGTAATGAAGGAGACAGACTGTACTGGAAGGATACTTAGACGCACTGCAGGGAGACAGACTGTACTGCAGGGAGGACTAGACTTTACTGAAGAGAGACTAGACTGTATTGCAGGGAAACTAGACTGTACTGCAGGAGACAAGACTGTACTGAAAGGAAGAAAGACTTGTACTTGCAGGGAGAATACTGTACGGGAAGGAGACTAGACTGTACTGGCAGGGAGACTAAGACTGCTGTACTGGAACGAGACTGACTGTACGGAGGAGAATAGACTGCACTGAAGGCGAGAACTAGACTGTACTGCCAGGGAGACAAGACTGTACTGGAAGGAGACTAGACTGTACTGCAGGGAGACTAGACTGTACTGGAAGGAGAATAGACTGACTGCAGGGAGACTAGACTGGTACTGCGGGAGGATAGACTTGTACTGAGGGAGACTAGATGTAATGCCGGGAGACTCGACTGGTGACTGCAGAGACTGCTTTTTGAGACTAGACTGTACTGCAGGGAAAATAGACTGTACTGCAGGGAGACTAGACTGTACTGCAAGGAGACAGAATGTTACGGCAGGGAGAGATACTGTACGGAAGAAATAGACTGTACTGCAGGGAGACTAGACTGTACTGCAGGAGACTAGACTGTATGAAGGGAGTCTATGCAGGGAGGACTAGAAGTACGCAGGGAGACTAACTGTACCTGTGAACGCTACTAGACGGAACTGCAGGGAGACTAGACTGTACTGGAAGGAGACTAGACTGATACTGCAGGGCGGACTAGACTGTACTGCAAGGGAGGGACTAGACTGTACTGCAGGGAGAATAGACGTACTGGAAGGAGACTAGACCGTAATGCAGGGAGACTAGGACTGTACATGCAGGGAGACTAGACTGATACTGCCAGGGAGACTAGACTGTACTGCAGGGAGGGAGACTAGACTGTAGGGAAGGAGACTAGACTGCACTGCAGGGAGACTAGACTGTACTGGAAGGAGACTGACTGTACTGCAGGGAAAACTAGACGGTACTGTTATAGGAGGGAATAGACTGTACTGTAGGGAGACTGTAATGGACAGGAGACTAGATGTACTGCAGGGAGACTAGAACGGTACTGCAGGTGAGAGACTTAGACTCAACGCAGGGAGACTTAGAATGTAATGCAGGGAGACTAGACTGTACTGAAGGGAGACTGCTAACGCATGGAGACTAGGACTGTACTGCAGGGGACAGACACTGTCTGAGGGAGACTGTTACTGGAAGGGACCCAGACGTACTGCCCGGGTACAGAATGTACTGAAGGGAGATAGACTGTACTGCAGGGAGGACTGTACTGCAAGGAGGACTAGACTGTACTGCAGGGAGACAGTACTGCGGGAAAACTAGACTGTACGTAGGGAGACTGTTATGCAGGGAGACTAGACTGTACTGGAAGGAGACAGATCGTACTGCAGGTGAAGACTGCCTGCACTGGAAGGAGACAGGAATGCAATGAAAGGGAGACTAAACTGTACTGCAGGGAGACTAGACTGTACTGCAGGGAGTCTAGACTGTACTGGAAGGGACTAGAACTGTACTTGAAGGAGACTAGACTGCACTGCAGGGAGACTAGACTGTACTGCAAGGAGACTAGGACTGTACTGCAGAGAGACGGTACGCAGGGAGTACTAGACTGTACTGCAAGGAGGGGATAGACTGTACTGTCGGGGACTAGACTGTACTGGAGGGAAGAGACTGTAATGGACCAGGGAAAACTAGGACGTACTGTCGGGAGGGGAGCCGAGACGTACTGCAAGGAGCCTAGATAGACTGTACTGAGGGGACTAGGCTGTACTGGAAGGAGACCTAGATTGTACTGCAGGGAATTGATGTTACTGGAAAGACTAGACTGCACTCGCAGGGAGACTAGACATGTACTGCGGGAGACTAGACTGTACTGCAGGGAGTTAGACTGTTACTGGAAGGAGACTAGAACTGTACTGGAAGGAGACTAGACTGCATTGCAGGGAGACTAGACGTACTGCAGGGAGACTAGACTGTACTGCAGAGAGACTAGACTGCTACTGCAGGGAAACTAGACTGTTACTGCAGGAGACAAGACTGTTACTGGAAGGAGGACTAGGACTGTACTGCAGGGAGACTAGACTGTACTGGAAGGAGACTAGACTTTCTGCAGGGAGGACAGACTGTACTGCAGGGAGGACTAGACTGTACTGCAGGGGAGGACTAGACTGTACTGCAGGGTTACTAGACTGTAATGCAGGGAGGACGAGACTGTACGGCGGGAAACTAGAATCGTATGCAGGGAGACTAGACTGTACTGGAAGGAGACTAGACTGTAACTGCAGGGAGACAGACTGTACTGGCAGGGAGACTAACTGTTATGCAGGGAGAGAGACTGTACTGAAGGGAGACTAGACCTGTACTGCAGAGAGACTAGGACCTGGTACTGCAGGGGAAACTTAGACTGTATGAAGGGAGACTAGATGTACTGCAAGGAGACTAGAATGTAATGCAGGGAGACGAACTGTACGGGAAGGAACAGGACGTACTGAAGGGAGACTAGGACTGTATGCAGGGAGACTAGACGGTTATGGAAGGAGAGTCTACTGCAGGGGAGGACAGGACTGTAACTGCAGGAGACTATAGACTGTACTGGAACGAAGACTAGACTGTACTGAGGGAGAGAATGAGACTGTTACTGGAGGGAGACTAGGACTGTACGCAGGGAGATAGACTGTACGCAGGGGATAGACTGTACTGCAAGGGAGGACTAGACTGTACTGGAAGGGAGACTAGACAGTACGCAGGGAGGACTATACGGTACTGCAGGAGAATTAGACTGTACTGCAGGGAGACTAGACTGTACTTGCAGGGAGGGATAGACGTACTGGAAGGCGACTAGAATGCACTGCAGGGCGAATAGACTGTAATGGAAGGAGACCTTGGACTGTACTGCAGGGAACTAGGACTGTACTGTAGGGAGGATAGACTGTACAGTAGGAGAGCGTAAATGGAAGGAACTAGAATGTACTGACAGGGAGACTAGACTTGTACTGCGGGACCCTAGACTCAAACTGCAGGGAGAATCAGATGTACTGCAGGGAGACTAGACTGTACTGCAGGGAGACGTATGCATGGAGACTAGACGTACTGCAGGGAGACTAGACTGCTACTGAAGGGAGAACAGTTACTGGAAGGAGACAGGACTGTACTGCAGGCGATACTAGAATGTACTGAAGGGAGAGACTAGACGGTACGGCAGGGAGACTGTACTGAAGGAGACTTAGACTGTACTGCAGGGAGGTACTGTTACTGAGGGAAACTAGACTGTACTGTAGGGAGACTGTTACTGCAGGGGAGACTAGACTGTACGGGAAGGAGATAGATTGTACTGCAGGGAGATGGCATGCACTGGAAGGAGACTAGGACTGCAAGGAAGGGAGACTAAAAACTGTACTGCCAGGTGACCCCCTGGGAGACTAGACTTGAATGGCCAGGGGTATAGACTGTACTGGAAGGAGACTAGACTGTACTGGAGGAGACTAGACTGCCACTGCAGGGAGCTAGACTGTACTGCAAGGAGACTAGGACTGTAATGCAGAGAGACTGTACTGCAGGGAGACTAGACTGTACTGCAAAGGAGGACAGGACTGTTACTGTGGGAGACTAGACTGTACTGTAGGGAGACTGACTGCAGGAAACTAGGACTGTACTGTCGGGAGACTTGTAATGCAAGGAGACTGACTGTACTGCAGGGAGACTAGACTGTTACTGGAAGGCGACTAATTGTACTGCAGGGAGACGTGACTGTACTGGAAGAGACTAGACTGCACTGCAGGGAGACTAGACTGTACTGACAGGGAGACTAGACTTGTACTGCAGGGAGTCTAGACTGTAATGGAAGGAATGCGAAGGAGACTAGACTGTACTGGAAGGAGAAGGAGACTAGACTGCACTGCAGGGAGACTAGACTGTACTGCAGGGAGAATACACTGTAATGCAGAGGACAGGACTGTACGCAGGGCAACTAGACTGTATGCAGGGGAGGAGACTAGACTGTACTGCAAGGAGGGAAAGACGGATACCGCAGGGAAGACTTTACTGTACGGGAAGGAGACTAGACTGACTTGCAGGAGACTAGACTGTACTGGAACGAGACTAGACTTGTTACTGGACGGAGATAGACTGCACTGCAGGGCGGACTAAGACTGTACTGCAGGGAGACAAGACTTGTACTGGAAGGAGGAAATAGACTGTATGCAGGAGACTAGGACTGTACGGAGGCGGACTAGACTGTACGGCAGGGAGACTAGACTACTGCAGGGAGAACTAGACTGTACTGCAGGGAGAATAGACGTACTGCGGGAGATAGACTGTACTGCAGAGAGTACTAGACTGTACATGCAGGGAGGAAACTAGACTGTACTGCAGGGAGACTAGACGTGTACGCAGGAGACTAGACTGTTACTGACAGGGAGATATTACGTACGGGAAGGAAAACTAGACTGTACTGAGGGAGACTAGACTGTAATGCAGGGGAGACTAGGACGGAATGGAAGGAGAGTCTACCTGAGGGAGAATAGGAATGTACTGCAGGGAGACGAGACTGTTACTGGAACGAGACTAACTGTATGCAGGGAGACTAGACTGTACTGGAAGGAGACTAGACTGTACTGCAGGGAGAATAGACTGTACTGCAGGGAGATGACTGTTACTGCAGGGAGGACTGAATGTTACGGAGGAAGGGACAGACCAGTACTGCAGGGGAGACAGACTTACTGCAGGTGAGACAGACTGTACGCAGGGAGGACTAGACTGTACTGCCGGGAGACTAGACTGTACTGGAAAGGAGGACTAGACTGCACGGCAGGAGCTAGACGTAGGAGGAGACTTGAACTGTACTGCAGGCGAAACTAGATGTACTGTAGGGAGAAAGGACTGTAGTAGGAGACTGTAATGGAAGGAGACAGAATGTATGCGGGAGAGGAGAGACTAGACTTGTACTGCAGGGAGACTCGACTCAAATGCAGGGAGACTAGAATGTACTGCAGGGAGACATAGACGTACTGCAGGGAGGACGAGACTGTACTGCATGGAGACTAGACTTGTAATGCTAGGGAGACCGTAGACTGTACTGAAGCGGAGACCTTGTATGGAAGGCAGACCCAGGATGTACTGCAGGGATATAGATGTACTGAAGGGAGACTGACTGTACTGCAGGGAGACTTACTGACAAGGAGACTAGAATGTACTGCGGGGACTAGAATGTACTGAAGGGAGACTTAGGACTGTATTGGAAGGAGACCCAGACTGTACGCAGGGATACTAGAATGTACTGAAGGAGAGACTAGATGTACTGGAAGGAGACTAGACGCACTGCAGGGAGACTATGACTGTACTGAAGGGAGGACGTAGACTGTACTGGAAGGAGAACTAGACGTACTGGAAGGAGACTAGATGTCGTCAGGGAACCTAGACTGTTATGTAAGGGAGACTAGACTGTACTGATAGGAGACTAGACTGTACTGCAGGGAGGACTGTACGGAAGGAGACTAGAATGTATGCAGGGAACTAGATGTACTGCAGGGAGACTAGAATGTACTGAATGGAGACTAGGGACTGTACTGTCAGGAGACTAGGCTCTACTGCAAGGAGATAGACTGTACTGCAGGGAGACTACACTGTACTGAAGGGAGACTAGACTGTATGCAAGGAGACTAGGAATGTACTGGAAGGAGAATAGACTGCACTGCAGGGAGGACTAGACTGCACTGCCAGGGAGACTAGACTGTACTGCAAGGAGACTAGACTGTACTGCAGGGAGGAATAGCCTGTACTGAAAGGGAGACTAGACTTGTATGAGGAGAACTGACTGTATGGAAGGAGACTAGACTGTTACGCCGGGAGACTTTACGCAAGGAGGACTAGACTGTCTGCAGGGAGTACTGACTGTACTGAAGGGACGACTAGACTGGACTGGAAGGAGACTAGGACTGTATGGAAGGAGACTAGACAGGACTGCAGGGAGACTGTTAGCAGGAGACTAGACTGTACTGATAGGAAAAAGACTGCTACTGCAGGGAGACTAGGACTGTACTGCAAGAGACTCGATTATACTGCAAGGAGGACTTGACCTGTATGCAGGGAGACTAGACTGTACGCAGGGAGACTAGACTGTAATGTAGGGAGACGTACCTGCAGGGAGACTAGACTGACTGCAGGAGACTAGACTGTACTGCAAGGAGGGACTAGAACTTGTTACTGCAGGGAGACTACACTGTACTGCAGGGAGCTACACTGTAATGCAGGGAGACTAAATGTACTGCAGGGAGACTAGAATGTATGCAGGGAGACTAGACTGTACTGCTTATCAGGGAGATAGACTGTAGCAAGGAGACTAGATGTAGCAGGGAGGACTAGAATGTTTACTGGAAGGAGGACTAGACGGGACTGAAAGGAGACTAGACTGTAATGCAGGGAGGACTAGACTGTACGGCAGGAGACAGAATTGTACCTGCAGGAGACCAACTGTACTGCAGGGAGGATGTACTGCAGGGAGACTAGACGGTACTGCAAGGGAGGGGACAGACTGTACTGTGGAGACTAGACGTACTGTAGGAGGACTAGACTGTACTTGCAGGGACGGACTGTATGGATGGAGGACTAGAAAATGTAATGCAGGAGGACTAGACTGTACGCAGGGAGACTAGACTGTACTGCAGGGAACTAGACTGTACTGCGGGAGAGACTAGACTGTACTGCAGGGAGACTAGAATTTACTGCCAGGAGACAGAATGTACTGCAGGGAGACTAGAATGTACTGCAGGAGACTAGACTGTACTGGAAGGAGACTAGGATCACTGCAGGGAGGGATAGACTGCACTGAGGGAGGACTAGACTACTGGAAGGAGATAGACTTGATACGCAAGGAGACTAGACTGTACGGCAGGAGACTAGGGAATGTGCTGGAAGGAGACTGTACTGCAAGGAGACTGCTGTAATGTAGGGAGAGGAGACTAGAACGTACTGTAGGGAGACTTTACTGCAGGAGACTAGACTGTACTGAAGGAGACTAGACGTACTGCAGGGCGACTAGAAGTACTGTAGGGAGACTAGAAGTACTTGCGGGAGGACTAGACTGTTACTCAGGGAGACTAGGCTGTATGCAAGGAGATTAGGAATGTACTGAGGGGAGAATAGACTGTACTGAAGGGAGACTAGACTGTACTGCAGGGGGACTAGAATGTACGGCAGGGAGATAGACTGTAATGGAAAGGAGACTAGACTGTACTGCATGGAGGACTAGATGTACGGCAGGAGAGATAGTAATGTACGGACCAGGGAGACAGACAGTACTGCAGGGAGACTAGACGTTACTGTAGGGAGGACTGTACTGGAAGGAGAACGAACTGTACTGTAGGGAGACTTAGACGGGACTTAGGGAGACTAGACTGTACTGTAGGGAGACTAGACTGGACTGGAAGGCGACTAGACTGTATGTAGGGAGACTAGACTGTTACTGCAGGAGGACTTAGCTGTACTGCAGGAGACTAGACTGTACTGGAAGGTACACTAGACTTAATGAGGAGAGAATAGACTGTACTGCAGGGAGACTAGACTGTACTGTAGGGAGATAAGACTGTACTGAGGGAGAATTAGACTGTACGGGAAAGGAGACTAGACTGTACTGCAGGGAGTCTAGATGTACTGCAGGGAGACGCAGACGTACTGCAGGGAGACTAGAATGTACTGCAGGGAGGAAGAATGTACGCAGGGAGACTAGAATGTACTGCAGGGAGAGACTAGACTGCTACTGAAGGACAGATAGGACTGCACTGCAGGAGATAGACTGCACTGCAGGGAGGACTAGACTGTAATGCAGGGAGGACTAGACTGTACTGCAAGGAGACTAGACGTACGGCAGGGAGACTAGAATGTACTGAAGGAGACTAGAATGTACTGCAAGGAGGACTAGACATGACTGCAGGGAGGACAGAATGTACCTGCAGAGACTAGACTTGTACTGGAAAAGGAGATCTAGGACTTACTGCATGGAGGACTAGACTGTACTGCAGGGAGGACGAGAATGTATGCAGGGACTAGATGTACTGCAGGGAGAATAGACGGTACTGCAGGGAGACTGAATGTACGCAGGGAGACTAGACAGACTGCAGGGAGAGAGAATAGGACTGTATGTAGGGAGGGACTGATACTGGAGGAGGAATAGACTGTATGTAGGGAGACTAGACTGTTACTGTAGGGAGACTAGACGGGATGTAGGGAGCTAGACTGTACTGGAAGGAGATAGACGTACTGTGGGAGACTCGACTGTACTGCAGGGGAGACTAGGACCCGTACGGCAGGGGAGACTAGACTGGACTGGAAGGAGGACAGGACTGTACTGCAGGGACGAGAGACTTGTTACTGCAGGGAGACTAGAACTGTAATGTAGGGAGACTAGACGGTACTGTAGGGAGACTAGACTGTACTGGAAGGAGACTAGATGTACTGCAGGGAGTCTTAGACTTGTACTGCAGGGAGACTAGACTTACTGCCGGGATGACTACTAGACTGTACTGTCAGGGAAGACTAGACTGTACTGCAGGAGAATAGACTGTACTGCAGGGAGACTATTACTGTACGGAACGGAAAACTAGACTGTACTGAAGGGAGACAGAATGTGTCCTTGCCAGGGAGACTAGACTGTACTGAGAAGGAGAGGTCTACGGCAGGGAGACTAGACTGTACTGCAGGGAGGACTAGACTGTACTGCAGGGAGGGACTAGACTGTACTACAGGGAGACTAGAATGTAACGGCAGGGAGACTAGACTTACTGTAGGGAGGGAACTGTACTGTAGGGAGGGACTAGACTGTACTGCAGGGGACTAGGACGTACTGTAGGGAGACTAGACTGTACTGTAGGGAGGACTCGGGACCGTACTGTAGGGAGACAGACTGTAATGGAGGGAGACTAGACTGTACTGGAGGAGACTAGACTGTTACTTTAGGGAGACTAGACTGTACTGTCGGGAGACTATGACTGTACGGTAGGGAGACTGTACTGCAGGGGAGACTAGACTGTACTGCAAGGAGACTAGACTGTACTGCACGGAGACTAGACTGTACTGTAGGAGACTAGACTGTACTGCAGGGAGACTAGACTGTATGCAGGGAGACTAGACTGTACTGCAAGGAGACTAGAATGTACTGCGGGGGACTATACAGTACTGCAGGGAGACTAGACTGTACTGCAGGGAGACTAGAATGTACTGCAGGGAGACTAGACTGTACTGGAAGGAGACTAGACTGTACGGCATGGAGACTAGACTGTACTGCAGGGAGACTAGACTGTACTGCAGGGAGACTAGACTGTACTGCAGGGAGACTAGACTGTAGTGCAGGGAGACTAGAATGTACTGCAGGGAGACTAGACAGTACTGCAGGGAGACTAGACTGTACTGTAGGGAGACTGTACTGGAAGGAGACTCGGGGACGTAGGGAGGACTAGATGTACTTTAGGGGATGACTAGACGTACTGTAGGGAGCCTAGGACTGTACTGGAAGGAGACAGACTGTCTTGTCGGGAGGACTCGACTGTACTGCCAGAGGAGACTAGACTGACTGCAGGGAGACTAGGGATGTATGGAGGAGATAGACGGGATGCAGGGGAGATAGACTGTTACTGCAGGGAGACTAGACTCTGTACGTAGGGAGACTAGAGTAACTGTTAGGGAGCTATGATGTACTGGAAGGAGTATTAGACTGTAAGGCAGGGAAGTCTAGACTTGTACTGCAGGGAGACTAAGACTGTACTGCAAGGAAGACTAGACGTAACTGCAGGGATACTATACTGTACTGCAGGGAGACTAGCTGGTACTACAGGGAGACTAGACTTACTGCAGGGAGGAGACAGAATGTTTACTGGAAGGAGAGCTACTGCAGGGAGACTAGGACGTACTGGAAGGAGACTAGACTGGTAATGCAGGGAGTCTCAGACTGTACTGCAGGCGGAGGGAGACTAGAACTGTACCTGCAGGAGACCGACTTAGTACTGCAGGGAGACTATACTGTACTGCAGGGAGACTAGACTGTACAAAGGGAGGAGACTGGACTTGTACTGCAGGGAGACTAGACGTACTACAGAGAGCCTAGAATGTACTGCAGGGAGACTAGAGACGTCTGTTAGGGAGACTAGATGTATGCAAGGAGACTAGGGGGCTGTACTGCAGGGAGACTAGACTGTACTGTAGGGAAGACTCAGGATGTACTGTAGGGAGATAGACTGTACTGTAGGGCGACTAGAACTGTAGGAAGGAGATAGACGTACTTAGTGAGGACGAGACTGTACTTGTTTTTTTTGGGGCAGGGAGACTAGACTGTATGCAGGGAGGGGCTAGACTGTACTGGAAGGAGGACTAGACTGTACTGAGGGAGACTAGACTTTTACGGTAGGGAGATCGACTGTATGTACTGTAGGCGAGGACTAGACTGGTACTGGAGGGAGACTGTCTGCAGGGAGACTAGACGGTTAACTGCAAAGGAGACTTAGGACTGTACTGCAAGGGAGACCTAGACGTACTGCAGGGAGACTAGACTGTACTGTAGGGAGACTGTATGTACTTGTAGGGGAGACTGTATGACTGTAGGGGAGACCTAGAAGACGTACTGCAAGGAGACTAGGACTGTCGTACTTGCAGGGAACTAGGAATGTACTGGAAGAGACCGACTGTACTGCAGGGAGATCTAGACTGTATGCAGGGAGACTAGGACTGTATGCAGGGAGACTAGACTGAAACTGTAGGGACAACTAGATTGTACTGCAGGGAGACTAGACTGTACTGCGCAGGGGAATGACTGTACTGGAAGGAGACTAGACTGTACTGCAGGGAGACTAGGACTAGGACTGTACTGCAGGGAGTATAGACCTTGTACTGTAGGGAAGACTAGACTGTACGGTAGGGAAACTAGACTGTACTGGAAGGAGACTAGACGTACTGCAGGAGACTAGACTGTACTGCCGGGCGACTGGGACTGTACGCAGGGAGACTAGAATGGACTTAGGGAAGCGAGACTGTATGAAGAGTACTGACTGTACTTGTAGGGAGACTCAGACTGGCGACAGGGAGTACTAGGACTGTACTGTAGGGAGACTGACTGACTGTAGGGAGACTAGACTGTACGTGGGAGACTAGATGTACTGGAAGGAGAACTAGACTGTACTTTAGGGAGACTAGGAATGTACTGAAGGGGATAGGGACTGTACTGCAGGGAGAAGGACTGTACTGGCAGGAGGACTAGGAATGTATACTGCAGGGAGACTTAGAACTGTATGCAGGGAGACTAGACGGACTGTAGGGAGTACTAGACTGGACGTACTGTAGGGAGACTGACTGAATGGAGGGAGACGGTTCTTGCAGGGAGACTAGACTGTACTGCAAGGAGACTAGACTGTACTGCAAGGAGACTAGACTGTACTGCAGGGAGACTAGACTGTACTGTAGGGAGACTGTACTGTACTGTAGGGAGACTGTACTGTACTGTAGGGAGACTAGACTGTACTGCAAGGAGACTAGACTGTACTGTAGGGAGACTAGACTGTACTGCAGGGAGACTAGACTGTACTGCAGGGAGACTAGACTGTACTGTAGGGAGACTAGAATGTACTGCAGGGAGACTACACTGTACTGCAGGGAGATTAGACTGTACTGCAGGGAGACTAGAATGTACTGCAAGGAGACTAGACTGTACTGGAGGGAGACTAGACTGTACTGGAGGGAGACTAGACTGTACTGGAGGGAGACTAGACTGTACTGTAGGGAGACTAGACTGTACTGGAAGGAGACTAGACTGTACTGGAGGGAGACTAGACTGTACTACATGGAGACTAGACTGTACTGGAGGGAGACTAGACTGTACTACATGGAGACTAGACTGTACTACATGGAGACTAGACTGTACTGGAGGGAGACTAGACTGTACTGGAAGGAGACTAGACTGTACTACATTGATGGGCAACTGGCGGCCCCCCTTTTGTAGGCCCGTGGATCAATTTCCATAGAATTGGAACTCCGTCAGGATCTTGACTTTCTATTCAGAGTTAGAATCGTAGAATAAACAAGGTGCAATTTCGACATTTGGTTGTACATAATCAGTTTTTCTCGTTATGTTACTGACAGTCACTCAATTAGCCCATGTTGGTTAACATTTTTTAGATTGGTAAGTTAGTCCAGCGGCCAGCAATCTAAACATGTAGTAATCATGGCCGAATTACCGACCAGGGGCCCCCATTGATTTTGTTAGTCACTCTCACTCAGATATCATGTTAAAAACTGCAAACATTTCCCTCCACCCCATGGCAAAATGTGTAGAATTGCTGGAAATAAGTTGTAAAACTGCAAAATCTTCTCTCCACCACATGGTAAAATGTGTAGATTTGCAGGAAATTAACTCAAACTTTTCTTCTCTGCTGTCAAAAGGGGGACTGCTAAAATGTATTGCTCACATGGTGGGGTTATAGGTGGGGTGACCCGCGAGTCACTGCGGACCCCAATATGAGTTCAGACCCGCGAGTCACGGCAGCCCCCAATATGAGTTCAGACCCGCGAGTCACGGCAGCCCCCATGATGAGTTCAGACCCGCGAGTCACGGCAGCCCCCAATATGAGTTCAGACCCGCGAGTCACGGCAGCCCCCAATATGAGTTCAGACCCGCGAGTCACGGCAGCCCCCAATATAAGTTCAGACCCGCGAGTCACGGCAGCCCCCATGATGAGTTCAGACCCGCGAGTCACGGCAGCCCCCATGATGAGTTCAGACCCGCGAGTCACGGCAGCCCCCATGATGAGTTCAGATTTGTGACTATCTCAATACTATAGTAATGACAGGATGGTTAACATAATGTGGTCCTCTGTAGCTGAATTGGTAGAGCGTGGCGCTTGTAACGCCAGGGTAGTGGGTCCGATCCCCGGGACCACCCATATGTAAAAATGTATGCACACATGACTGTAAGTCGCTTTGGATAAAAGCGTCTGCTAAATGGTATATTATAATTATTACTATAGTAATGACAGAATGGTCAACATAATATATCCTACTTCAATAGAAAATAACAAAAGTTACCGTACAGGAATGAACTACTGTAGTCATCCGCAGACAGTGAATGAATGTTCCTTTTGTTAACAGCATTTTAAACAAATGGCATTTTTTAAAACATCATCATGATATAAGTTACTTATCATAAAGTAATGTATGTATCTTTAAACGATAACACTTATGTTGTAAATATTGTACATTATAAGGGCCAGAGAACATTGATCTATTTTGAACACGTATTGGAATGTCCACGTTGCCATGGCAGTGCTTCTAGGGTTGCCCTGATCCACCCCAGCATCCATGTAACATGAACCTTGGATTTATGTGGAATATGGAACCTCAGGACTTCAGGGCTCAATCGCAAATGAAGAAAAATAAGCAGAAAATGAACTGTGCTTTCTCTGTACGTACAGCCTTGTGTCAAATGAACTGTGCTTCCTCTGTACGTACAGCCTTGTGTCAAATGAACTGTGCTTCCTCTGTACGTACAGCCTTGTGTCAAATGAACTGTGCTTCCTCTGTACGTACAGCCTTGTGTCAAATGAACTGTGCTTCCTCTGTACGTACAGCCTTGTGTCAAATGAACTGTGCTTTCTCTGTACGTACAGCCTTGTGTCAAATGAACTGTGCTTCCTCTGTACGTACAGCCTTGTGTCAAATGAACTGTGCTTCCTCTGTACGTACAGCCTTGTGTCAAATGAACTGTGCTTCCTCTGTACGTACAGCCTTGTGTCAAATGAACTGTGCTTCCTCTGTACGTACAGCCTTGTGTCAAATGAACTGTGCTTTCTCTGTACGTACAGCCTTGTGTCAAATGAACTGTGCTTCCTCTGTACGTACAGCCTTGTGTCAAATGAACTGTGCTTCCTCTGTACGTACAGCCTTGTGTCAAATGAACTGTGCTTCCTCTGTACGTACAGCCTTGTGTCAAATGAACTGTGCTTCCTCTGTACGTACAGCCTTGTGTCAAATTAACTGTGCTTCCTCTGTACGTACAGCCTTGTGTCAAATGAACTGTGCTTCCTCTGTACGTACAGCCTTGTGTCAAATGAACTGTGCTTCCTCTGTACGTACAGCCTTGTGTCAAATGAACTGTGCTTCCTCTGTACGTACAGCCTTGTGTCAAATTAACTGTGCTTTCTCTGTACGTACAGCCTTGTGTCAATTGTCCCAAATACTTCCTTTGGCCTTAAACAGCGACATGAGTATTACATAGTTATAACATACTACACTGAACATTCTATTATCCATTCACTGCACAGAGGAGTGACACACACACACACACACACAATGCATTCTCCAATGGAGAATTCCCATTAAATCCCCACAGTAGCATCTTCAGCTAACTACTGCCATCTGGGGATAGTAGGGCTGTTTGTTTCTGCATGTTTAGTGTAACTGTTAGCTTCTGTCGGCAGGTAGCTTAGTGGTTAAGAGCGTTGTGCCAGTAACCAAAAGGTCGCTGGTTCTAATCCCCGAGCCCGACTAGGTGAAAAATCTGTCGATGTGCCCTTGAGCAAGGGACTTAACCCTAATTGCTATGGGTAAGAGCGTCTGCTAAATGACTAAAATGTAATTACAACACTATACATCTGGTAACACTTTCCATTTAGTGTTCATTAAGTGTCCTACATTGTTCTTCCATGGATATTGCCATTTACATGTTGTTAATTACCGTTAAAAACAGACATGTACCCTGCAAACAAAATAAATTGTCTTTAGGACGTCCCCAGAACGTCAGGAGGTTGCGTCACGGTCCCCTGGACCTCCTTAGGACGTTCCCTGTTTGCTGGGTTAGTTCCTATTGTTTAATCAAAAACATTGTTCATTAAATCATAGCTGGACTGGATGCTTACAATTTAGTGTGTTCTCTCATCTATAATCTATAATTACAGACTGTTATAATAGTATACTGTAGGCAGGGGGTATTGGAGGAGGAGGAAGCCTTAAACTTCAAGTCCCTCAGAGGTCCCTTTGTTCTAGAACACTTTTTTTTAAAAGCACATTTTTTCCAAAAACAAATTGCATCATGGCCGGGAAATGTAGAAGATTACAGTTTAATTGCCGGGCAGCTCTTTGAGTAACTAATGTCACAGAATGGATCTGTTCATTCTCCTTTTTTGGTTTAAGAGTCTGAGGGCAACAATCACATGGTAAATACATTTAAGTCATTTTAGCAGACGCTCTTATCCAGAGCGACTTACAGGAGCAATTAGGGTTAAGTGCCTTGCTCAAGGGCACATCGACAGATTTTTCACCTAGTCGGGCTCGGGGATTAGAACCAGCGACCTTTCGGTTACTGGCACAACGCTCTTAACCACTAAGCTACCTGTCACCCCCGCAATGGTCTTCACTATTATTGTAGAATAATAGTGAAGACATCAAAAACTATGAAATAACACATATGGAATCATGTAGTAACCAAAAAAAGTGTTAAACAAATCAAAATATATTTAAGTTTTTTCAAAGTAGCCACCCTTTGCCTTGATGACAGCTTTGCACACTCTTGGCATTCTCTCAACCAGCTTCATGAGGTAGTCACCTGAAATGCATTTCAATTAACAGGTGTGCCTTCTTAAAAGTTAATTTGTGGAATTTCTGCACCCCTGGACCGGTCTGGACCTCAACGCGGAGCTTCCCCTCACAGTCCTCCCACGATGCACCGATCCCTGTCTGGACCCTGGTGTGGGAGACTCCGAACCTAGAGAGGGGCTGACGTCTGGACCCGGAGTGGAGCCGCTGACCGGAGCTGTACTGGATCCCGGTGGAGCGGACTGCTCTGGCTCCGGAGTGGAGCCGCTGACCGGAGCTGGCTTGGGCACCGGTGGAGCAGACTGCTCTGGCTCCGGAGTGGAACCGTTGACCGGTACTGGACCAGGCACCGGTGGAACGGGCACGGGCCGTGCCGGACTGGAAACACGCACCACAGGTCTGGTGCGAGGAGCAGGCACGGGCCGGACCGGACTGGGAACACGCACCACTGGCTTGGTGCGGGGAGAAGGTACGGGGCGTACCGGGCTGGCGACATGCACCACTGGTCTGGTGCGAGGAGCAGGAACGGGCCGGGCCGGACTGGGAACACGCACCACTGGTCTGGTGCGAGGAGCAGGAACGGGCCGGGCCGGACTGGGAACACGCACCACTGGCTTGGTGCGGGGAGCAGGTACTGGGCGTACCGGGCTGGCGACATGCACCACTGGTCTGGTGCGAGGAGCAGGAACGGGCCGGGCCGGACTGGGAACACGCACCACTGGCTTGGTGCGGGGAGCAGGTACGGGGCGTACCGGGCTGGCGACATGCACCACTGGTCTGGTGCGGGGAGCAGGAACGGGCCGGGCCGGACTGGGAACACGCACCACTGGCTTGGTGCGGGGAGCAGGTACGGGGCGTACCGGGCTGGCGACATGCACCACTGGCTTGGTGCGGGGAGCAGGAACGGGCCGGGCCGGACTGGGAACACGCACCACTGGCTTGGTGCGGGGAGCAGGTACGGGGCGTACCGGGCTGGCGACATGCACCACTGGCTTGGTGCGGGGAGCAGGCACGGGCCGGGCCGGACTGGGAACACGCACCACTGGCTTGGTGCGGGGAGCAGGTACGGGGCGTACCGGGCTGGCGACATGCACCACTGGCTTGGTGCGGGGAGCAGGTACGGGCCGGGCCAGACTGGGAACACGCACCACTGGCTTGGTGCGGGGAGCAGGTACGGGGCGTACCGGACTGGGAACACGGACCACTGGCTTGGTGCGGGGAGCAGGTACGGGGCGTACCGGGCTGGCGACATGCACCACTGGCTTGGTGCGGGGAGCAGGAACGGGCCGGGCCGGACTGGGAACACGCACCACTGGCTTGGTGCGGGGAGCAGGTACGGGGCGTACCGGACTGGGAACACGGACCATTGGCTTGGTGCGGGGAACAGGTACGGGGCGTACCGGACTGGGAACACGCACCACTGGCTTGGTGCGGGGAGCAGGTACGGGGCGTACCGGGCTGGCGACATGCACCACTGGCTTGGTGCGGGGAGCAGGAACGGGCCGGGCCGGACTGGGAACACGCACCACTGGCTTGGTGCGGGGAGCAGGTACGGGGCGTACCGGACTGGGAACACGCACCACTGGCTTGGTGCGGGGAGCAGGTACGGGGCGTACCGGACTGGGAACACGCACCACTGGCTTGGTGCGGGGAGCAGGTACGGGGCGTACCGGGCTGGCGACATGCACCACTGGCTTGGTGCGGGGAGCAGGAACGGGCCGGGCCGGACTGGGAACACGCACCACTGGCTTGGTGCGGGGAGCAGGTACGGCACGTACCGGACTGGGAACACGACTGTCTCCGTCCTTTACACTCCGCGCCCCGTCCTCCTCTAGTGAGGACTCCTCTTTGAGCCCCCACGAGTGCAGTGGTCGGGGCTCCTCTCTGTCGCTCCCCGACCACCCTTTTAGCTCCCCCCAAAATGTTCTTGGGGCTGTCTCTCCTTCTCCACCCTGATCCCTTTCAGGGCCTCCATCTGCTTGGCCAGATCCTCTCTTATCTCCCTCCAAGTCCATACTCTCTGCTCCTCCTGGGCACGCTGCTTGGTCCATTGGTGGTGGGATCTTCTGTCACGGACGTTGAAGGACGGGTCAGACCAAGGCGCAGCGTGAAATGCATCCATGTTTATTAAACCGAATAAACATACAAAAACAACAAAAGGCAACGAAACGTGATGTCGGAAGGCTATACACACACAAGCCACACTAACCAAACACAAACATGATCCGACAACACAGGCAGGAAAACTGGCTGCCTAAGTATGATCCCCAATCAGAGACAACGAGCGACAGCTGCCTCTGATTGGGAATCACACCCGGCCAAACATAGAAATACAAACATAGAATCCCCACATAGAAAACACACACATATATTCACACCCTGACCAAACTAACTAGAGTCTATAGGTCAGGGCGTGACAATGCTTCACAGAGTTCAAGTAACAGACACATCTCAACATCAACTGTTCAGGCCTTCATGGTCGAATTGCTGCAAAGAAACTACTACTAAAGGACACCAATAAGAAGAAGAGACCTGCTTGGGCCAAGAAACACGAGCAATGGACATTAGACCGGTGGAAATTTGTCCTTTGGTCTGGAGTCCAAATTGGAGATTTTTGGTTCCAACCACTGTGTCTTTGTGAGACACAGTGTAGGTGAACAGATGATCTCCGCATGTGTGGTTCCCACCGTGAAGTATGGAGGAGGAGGTGTGATGGTGTGGGGGTGCTTTGCTGGTGACACTGTCTGTGATTTATTTAGAATTCAAGGCACACTTAACCAGCATGGCTACCACATCATTCTGCAGCAATACGCCATCCCATCTGGTTTGGGCTTAGTGGGACTATCAGTTGTTTTTCAACAGGACAATGGCCCAACACACCTCCAGGCTGAGTAAGGGCTATTTGACCAAGAAGGAGAGTGATGGAGTGCTGCATCAGATGACCTGGCCTCCCACAATCACCCGACCTCAACCCAATTGAGATGGTTTGGGATGAGTTGGACCTCAGTGTGAAGGAAAAGCAGCCAACAAGTGCTCAGCATATGTGGGAACTCCTTCAAGACTGTTGGAAAAGCATTACAGGTGAAGCTGGTTGAGAGAATGCCAAGAGTGTGCAAAGCTGTCATCAAGGCAAAGGGGTGGCTACTTTGAAGAATCTCAAATATAAAATATATTTTGATTTGTTTAACACTTTTTTGGTTACTACATGATTCCATATGTGTTATTTCATAGTATTGATGTCTCCACTATTATTCTACAATGTAGAAAATAGTACAAATAAAGAAAAACCCTTGAATGAGTAGGTGTGTCCAAACTTTTGACTGGTACTGCAGTTTCCAAAACCGTTATTATTCCATGATATTGGGTTTAACCTAGCCTGGGTGCTTTGACTACACTGTCTACACCCCCCTCTGCCTCTGCCTCAGACATCCCCTGGTCTGCGTCCTGCAGCCTTCCACTAAAGACTATCATATTCTAGGCATATCAGCCAAATGCATCTTCTGTTGATCTCTCTCAACTGAGGAGGAAACCTCCCCAGGCGTTCCTTGGGGCCAGATCTTACCCCCCAAGAGCTTTCCTGATACCCTTTGGAAAATAAACGAAGGGCTGAAATTGCTGGGCAAGCAGGACATGTTAGTTAAACAAATGGGGGGGGGGGGGGGGGGGGGGGGGGGGGGGTTTACAGAGGGCTAACCCTCACGATACTGTGACTGTGAGGATTCCATCAGGGAGAGTTGGGCTCATAATCACATCAGCCCCATCAATCCATCCACAATGAAGCCGTTCGATCACCTTGGTGTTGCAGTGAAATGAGACTGTATGGTATTGAATGTTAAATGCTCCCATGTTTTGACTATTCAGACAGTCACTGACTGTTTAGACTACTGTATTTAGACTACTGTATTTAGACTACTGTATTTAGACTACTGTATTTAGACTACTGTATTTAGACTACTGTATTTAGCCAGTTGATGATTCTGTTTTACACTATTTAGTCAGGTCATTATTCAGCCACAGCCCCGTGCCGATGTATTGAATAGGAGCTGTTTTCTTTTCAGTCTGGTCATTGAAGATGGAACGTGGAGAATGTCTAGAACTGGATGTACTGTGCGGTATATGTATGTCCCAGCTACATGTTAAACTACATGTTGACTGACCTTGTTCTTCTCCTGTCTGAGTTTCTATAGGAGAGGGCTGGTATTGAGGAGAGGGCAGGCTGGTATTGAGGAGAGGGCAGGCTGGTATTGAGGAGAGGGCAGGCTGATGACAACATGCTGTAAACGATCAGAGAATCAAAGTCAAAGTCTACAGGCCCTTCAGATTTTCTGTCCTCCCAACAGCCTGTAGCTCAGTGGGCTTTCCTTCCAAGGCCTGTAAAAGCCCATTCAAAGTCACCCTTTTCATTTCACATCTGGCAATGGTAACAAACCTCGGTGGAAAAATTCATTGGATTCTTTTTAATCAAAGGACTGCAAACTATGAGGTTGAACCTGTTCGCTGTGTTCAGCCTCCAAGCAGCTATGCTTCAGGGGAAAGGGAGCGGAGCGCAGCTGGCCTGGCCGAGTAGTGACCTGCGCTGTTAGACTTCCTAGGCCCCAAACCGCAGAGTATGTCTTTAACATGGACATTCCTGTACCTAATAGCAGATGGTTTTGTGACCGTTCATTTTATGACTCCGGCATTTCTCTTTTAACACTCTGTTAGAGGAACTTAAGAATAGGAAATACCATGATTATCAGTTATCAATTTGGCCATTGTATATACAGTTGAAGTCTGAAGTTTACATACACCTTAGCCAAATACATTTAAACTCTGTTTTTCACAATTCCTGACATCTAATCCTAGTAAAAATTCCCTGTTTTAGGTCAGTTAGGATCACCACTTTATTTTAAGAATGTGAAATGTCAGACTAATAGTGGAGAGAATGATTTATTTCAGCTTTTATTTCTTTCATCACATTCCCAGTGGGTCAGAAGTTTACATACACTTAATTAGTATTTGATAGCATTGCCTTTAAATTGTTTACCTTGGGTCAAAAGTTTCGGGTAGCCTTCCACAAGCTTCCCACCATAAATTGGATGAATTTTGGCCCATTCCTCCTGACAGAGCTGGTGTAACTGAGTCAGGTTTGTAGGCCTCCTTGCTCGCACACGCTTTTTCAGTTCTGCCCACAAATGTTCTATAGGATTGAGGTCAGTGCTTTGTGATGGCCACTCCAATACCTTGACTTTGTTGTCCTTAAGCCATTTTGCCACAACTTTGGAAGTATGCTTGGGGTCATTGTCCATTTGGAAGACCCATTTGCGACCAAGCTTTAACTTCCTGACTGATGTCTTGAGATGTTGCTTCAATATATCCAAATAATTTTCCTTCCTCATGATGCCAACTATTTTGTGAAGTGCACCAGTCCCTCCTGCAGCAAAGCACCCCCACAGCATGATGCTGCCACCCCCGTGCTTCACGGTTGGGATGGTGTTCTTCGGCTTGCAAGCATCCCCTTTTTTCCTCCAAACATAACGATGGTCATTATGGCCAAACAGTTCTATTTTTGTTTAATCAGACCAGAGGAGATTTCTTCAAAAAGTACGATCTTTGTCCCCATGTGCAGTTGCAAACCGTAGTCTGGCTTTTTTATGGCGGTTTTGGAGCAGTGGCTTCTTCCTTGCTGAGCGGCCTTTCAGGTTATGTCGATATAGGACTCGTTTTACTGTGGATATAGATACTTTTGTACCTGTTTCCTCCAGCATCTTCACAAGGTCGTTTGCTGTTGTTCTGGGATTGATTTGCACTTTTCGCACCAAAGTACGTTAATCTCTAGGAGACAGAACGTGTCTCCTTCCTGGGCGGTATGACGGCTGCATGGTCCCATGGTGTTTATACTTGCGTACTATTGTTTGTACAGATGAACGTGGTACCTTCAGGCATTTGGAAATTGCTCCCAAGGAGGAACCAGACTTGTGGAGGTCTACATTTTCTTTTCTGAGGTCTTGGCTGATTTCTTTTGATTTTCCCATGATGTCAAGCAAAGTGGCACTGTGTTTGAAGGTAGGCCTTGAAATACATCCACAGGTACACCACCAATTGACTCAAATGATGTCAATTAGCCTATCAGAAGCTTCTAAAGCCATGACATCATTTTCTGGAATTTTCCAAGCTGTTTAAAGGCAGAGTCAACTTAGTGTATGTAAACTTCTGACCCACTGGAATTGTGATACAGTGAATTATAAGTGAAATAATCTGACTGTAAACAATTGGTGGAAATATTACGTGTGTCATGAACAAGTAGATGCCCTAACCGACTTGCCAAAACTATAGTTTGTTAACAAGACATTTGTGGAGTGGTTGAAAAACCTAAGTGTATGTAAACTTCAACTTCGACTTCAACTGTAGCTGTCAAAGGGGTGGTTGGGTGCTTGTCATTGTTCAGTTTTTACATGTACAAACAAGACAGATACACTATATATACAGAAGTATGTGGTCACCCTTTCAAATGAGTGGATTCGGCTATTTACATTTACATTTAAGTCTTTTAGCAGACACTCTTATCCAGAGCGACTTACAGTTAGTGAGTGCATAATTATAATTTTTTTCATACTGGCCCCCCGTGGCATTTCAGCCACACCCGTTGATGACAGGTGTATAAAACCGAGCACACAGCCATGCAATCTCCATAGACAAACATTGGCAGTTAATGCTCCATGTGAATAAATATAACGTCACATTTGACAGCAGTGACACCTCCATGTGAGGAAATATAACGTCACATTTGACAGCAGTGACACCTCCATGTAAGGAAATATAACGTCAAATTTGACAGCAGTGACACCTCAGAGGAAGCTAACATAGAAGAGTCATTTTGAAAAGCGATATAAGAGGTATGGTTGGAAATCCCATCTATTGTAATGCTAATCATGATCTTTGTGTTAAATTACCAGAAAAATCACCAAAAAATAAATAGCAGAAAAGGAATATAAAATATTGTGTAATGTAGCTTGTCTGAAGGAGATCTATCTTGATGAGGGCAGCGCTCTGGTATTCCTATAGCACTGTACATTTTTTTAAAAATTTTTAGTCATTTAGCAGACGCTCTTATCCAGAGCGACTTACAGATGGTGAGTGCATACATTTTTCATACTGGCATACATTTTACATGCATCGCTGATGAACAATGCCTGTGTCCCTGTGTTAGTGTGCCCTACTGGAAACATCTCCATTAGTCCATTAGTTCTCGATTGTGAGGGTCCATTTTATTGAGAACACCTCTACAACCTTGTAAACACTGAAAGGAAACTAAAGAACCTCAGCCCGTTCTAATTCTGCTGTGGATATTGGAAGAGTATGACTTTTTCCCTGTCACTGAGAGAAAGAGAGAGGAGGATTCTACTCATTTGTTCACTGCTGGTTGGAAAAGGGCCTGGAAACATTGTAAATGACTTTATTGCTACTGTCTGTCTGACTGGTAGACTACCCGGTGTCTGTCTAACTGGTAGACTACCCGGTGTCTGTCTGATGGTAGACTACCCGGTGTCTGTCTGACTGGTAGACTACCCGGTGTCTGTCTGACTGGTAGACTACCCGGTGTCTGTCTGACTGGTAGACTACCCGGTGTCTGTCTGACTGGTAGACTACCCGGTGTCTGTCTGACTGGTAGACTACCCGGTGTTTGTCTGACTGGTAGACTACCCGGTGTCTGTCTGACTGGTAGACTACCCGGTGTCTGTCTGACTGGTAGACTACCCGGTGTCTGTCTGACTGGTAGACTACCCGGTGTCTGTCTGACTGGTAGACTACCCGGTGTCTGTCTGACTGGTAGACTACCCGGTGTCTGTCTGACTGGTTAGACTACCCGGTGTCTGTCTGACTGGTAGACTACCCGGTGTCTGTCTGGACTGGTAGACTACCCGGTGTCTGTCTGACTGGTAGACTACCCGGTGTCTGTCTGACTGGTAGACTACCCGGTGTCTGTCTGACTGGTAGACTACCCGGTGTCTGTCTGACTGGTAGACTACCCGGTGTCTGTCTGAGGATGCCCTTCTATTGACACGTACTCCTCTCAGATTCTGGTCAGACAGAGATATGAATTAATAGATGACTTTGCTGTCCTTCAAATCAAAATGGATATACATCTATCTGCTGTTTCATTCCTGCCAGTTTCCAACCTTCTGCTTCTCAAACCAACCAACGCTTCTCTAACTTTGAGACAGCCACCTCTTATGCGTGCAGCAGTGGAATGATAATGGGCACCAAACGATAAGATGAAACCTGAGATAGCCATGGGTCTCTGTTCTCTGACAGGGGAAATATCCATGTTCAGTTGAAAGCTTGCAGAGCTCAGGGAATCCCATACATCTTGCATTAGTTATACATCCTTTGCCTTGGCTGGCAGCCAACAGACACATTTTTGGAATTTTTTTTAGGGCCATGTTGTGCTTCAATACAGAACTTGAATTACTGCAATTGAAGGATAACATACACTGAAGTATGTGGACACCCCTTCAAATTAGTGGATTTGGCTATTTCAGCCACACCCGTTGCTGACAGATGTATACAATCGAGCACACAGCCATGCAATCTCCATAAACAAACATTGGCAGTAGAATGGCCCGTACTGAAGAGCTCAGTGACTTTCAACGTGGCACCATCATAGGATGCCACCTTTCCAACGAGTCAGTTCGTCAAATTTCTGCCCTGCTAGAGCTGCCCCCGGTCAACTGTAAGTGCTGTTATTGTGAAGTGGAAACGTCTAGGAACAACAACGGCTCAGCCGTGAAGTGGTAGGCCACAGAAGCTCACAGGACGGGACCGCCGAGTGCTGAAAAATTGTCTGTCCTCGGTTGCAACACTCACTACCGAGTTCCAAACTGCTTCTGGAAGCAAGGTCAGCACAAGAACTGTTCATCAGGAGCTTCATGAAATGGGTTTCCATGGCCGAGCAGCTGCACACAAGCCTAAGATCACCATGTGCAATGCCAAGCGTCGGCTGGAGTGGTGTAAAGCTCGCTGCCATTGGACTCTGGAGCAGTGGAAACTCGTTCTCTGGAGTGATGAATCACGCTTCACCATCTGGCAGTCTAACGGACAAATCTGGGTTTGGCAGATGCCAAGAGAATGGTACCTACCCCAATGCATAGTGCCAACTGTAAAGTTTGGTGGAGGAGGAATAATGGTCTGGGGCTGTTTATCATGGTTCGGGCTAGGCACCTTAGTTCCAGTGAAGGGAAATGTTAACGCTACAGCATACAATTACATTCTAGATGATTCTGTGCTTCCAACTTTGTGGCAACAGTTTGGGGAAGGAGCTTTCCTGTTTCAGCATGACAATTCCCCAGTGCACAAAGCGAGGTCCATACAGAAATGGTTTGTCGAGATCTGTGCGGAAGAACTTGACAGGCCTCTCTCATCTTTTTAAGTGGGAGAACTTGCACAATTGGTGGCTGACTAAATACTTTCTTTCCCCACTGTACTAGATCAAAACCTAGAAAACACACAACAAAGAATATACACACCCTGACTCAACAAATACGAGTCCCCAGAGTCAGGGCGTGACAATTCCCCAAAAGATGATAATGCATTCTTCATAAATGTACTTATCCTTTGTAAAATATTTGGCTTTGCAGGTTTGAAAAACGAAAGTCCATTGTCAGCCTCAAGATCAATAGGGAATTGTCACAGAGAGATTACACATTAAGTGTGTAAATTATACAGCCCTGAACAAACTTCCTGAGATAATGAAATCATTGATCACCAGGGGTGCGCACTTCAGCCAATTGCGTGATGAAACAAACACATTTTCTTCGGGGGTTTGCATGTTGAATTTGTCGTTTCTGTCCGTCGTTCCTCTTGAACGATGTTTCCTCCGCCGTTCCTCTTGAATGATTGAGCATTGCAAACCAAACGAGGCCCTTAGAATCTGCCCCGGCCAAACTGGTTATGAACCCCACTGGAGTTACCAGGCACTCTCCATCTCGCTATGCGATTTCAGAGTATACTGTATATGAAGAGTTATTAGGTGTTATACTAAAAAGAGAGTTATTGGGTGTTATATTCAATATTGCTGTTAAACGTTTAGTCCTTTGGAAGTAAAGTGCTGGTTGGTCTTAGATATCCATGGATTCCATTCCAATGTGTCACTACTCTGCACACTGGTGTTGATGAAACGATCTCAGTATTCTTCTTGTTGCTGTAGTATATTGATTAACCCTCTACAATGAGTGATGCTGATGACTGCTGTGGTGTCATGTTACGTTGGTGCTGTGACTCGGATCAGAAACAACTGCTGAAAACCGATTGAGAGGAGAATATGAGATAGGTACAGTAGAGGTCTGAGAGAGCCTGGTGAGTCCTGTTTACTGGTAAAGGTAGTAGAGGTCTGAGAGAGCCTGGTGAGTCCTGTTGGTAAAGGTAGTAGAGGTCTGAGAGAGCCTGGTGAGTCCTGTTGGTAAAGGTAGTAGAGGTCTGAGAGAGCCTGGTGAGTCCTGTTTACTGGTAAAGGTAGTAGAGGTCTGAGAGAGCCTGGTGAGTCCTGTTGGTAAAGGTAGTAGAGGTCTGAGAGAGCCTGGTGAGTCCTGTTTACTGGTAAAGGTAGTAGAGGTCTGAGAGAGCCTGGTGAGTCCTGTTTACTGGTAAAGGTAGTAGAGGTCTGAGAGAGCCTGGTGAGTCCTGTTTACTGGTAAAGGTAGTAGAGGTCTGAGAGAGCCTGGTGAGTCCTGTTGGTGAAGGTAGTAGAGGTCTGAGAGAGCCTGGTGAGTCCTGTTGGTGAAGGTAGTAGAGGTCTGAGAGAGCCTGGTGAGTCCTGTTGGTGAAGGTAGTAGAGGTCTGAGAGAGCCTGGTGAGTCCTGTTTACTGGTAAAGGTAGTAGAGGTCTGAGAGAGCCTGGTGAGTCCTGTTTACTGGTAAAGGTAGTAGAGGTCTGAGAGAGCCTGGTGAGTCCTGTTGGTAAAGGTAGTAGAGGTCTGAGAGAGCCTGGTGAGTCCTGTTTACTGGTAAAGGTAGTAGAGGTCTGAGAGAGCCTGGTGAGTCCTGTTTACTGGTAAAGGTAGTAGAGGTCTGAGAGAGCCTGGTGAGTCCTGTTTACTGGTAAAGGTAGTAGAGGTCTGAGAGAGCCTGGTGAGTCCTGTTGGTAAAGGTAGTAGAGGTCTGAGAGAGCCTGGTGAGTCCTGTTTACTGGTAAAGGTAGTAGAGGTCTGAGAGAGCCTGGTGAGTCCTGTTTACTGGTAAAGGTAGTAGAGGTCTGAGAGAGCCTGGTGAGTCCTGTTTACTGGTAAAGGTAGTAGAGGTCTGAGAGAGCCTGGTGAGTCCTGTTGGTAAAGGTAGTAGAGGTCTGAGAGAGCCTGGTGAGTCCTGTTTACTGGTAAAGGTAGTAGAGGTCTGAGAGAGCCTGGTGAGTCCTGTTGGTGAAGGTAGTAGAGGTCTGAGAGAGCCTGGTGAGTCCTGTTGGTGAAGGTAGTAGAGGTCTGAGAGAGCCTGGTGAGTCCTGTTGGTGAAGGTAGTAGAGGTCTGAGAGAGCCTGGTGAGTCCTGTTGGTAAAGGTAGTAGAGGTCTGAGAGAGCCTGGTGAGTCCTGTTTACTGGTAAAGGTAGTAGAGGTCTGAGAGAGCCTGGTGAGTCCTGTTTACTGGTAAAGGTAGTAGAGGTCTGAGAGAGCCTGGTGAGTCCTGTTGGTAAAGGTAGTAGAGGTCTGAGAGAGCCTGGTGAGTCCTGTTGGTAAAGGTAGTAGAGGTCTGAGAGAGCCTGGTGAGTCCTGTTTACTGGTAAAGGTAGTAGAGGTCTGAGAGAGCCTGGTGAGTCCTGTTTACTGGTAAAGGTAGTAGAGGTCTGAGAGAGCCTGGTGAGTCCTGTTGGTAAAGGTAGTAGAGGTCCGAGAGAGCCTGGTGAGTCCTGTTTACTGGTAAAGGTAGTAGAGGTCTGAGAGAGCCTGGTGAGTCCTGTTGGTAAAGGTAGTAGAGGTCTGAGAGAGCCTGGTGAGTCCTGTTTACTGGTAAAGGTAGTAGAGGTCTGAGAGAGCCTGGTGAGTCCTGTTTACTGGTAAAGGTAGTAGAGGTCTGAAGGAGCCTGGTGAGTCCTGTTGGTAAAGGTAGTAGAGGTCTGAGAGAGCCTGGTGAGTCCTGTTTACTGGTAAAGGTAGTAGAGGTCTAAAAGAGCCTGGTGGCACCCGATGGTCAGCCTGGATTAGCTGTAGCCAGCTGAGGTTATTGGCCAGGGTAAGGCCGTCCCAGAGGTAACAACCCAGGTCTTTGCACAGAGCAGCCAGACACTTGAGGAATGTATCTCTGACTGACAAGCTGTTTTATTTTAGCAAGGTGAAAGTAAATGGCAGTGGTTATGCAGTGTGTTCTGAGGCCTGATTGGTGCCATCCAAGCGGGGATGTTGTTTTGAGCGATGTCTACTTTCAGTGTGTTCTGAGGCCTGATTGGTGCCATCCAAGCTGGGATGTTGTTTTGAGCGATGTCTACTTTCAGTGTGTTCTGAGGCCTGATTGGTGCCATCCAAGCTGGGATGTTGTTTTGAGCGATGTCTACATTCAGTGTGTTCTGAGGCCTGATTGGTGCCATCCAAGCTGGGATGTTGTTTTGAGCGATGTCTACTTTCAGTGTGTTCTGAGGCCTGATTGGTGCCATCCAAGCGGGGATGTTGTTTTGAGCGATGTCTACTTTCAGTGTGTTCTGAGGCCTGATTGGTGCCATCCAAGCTGGGATGTTGTTTTGAGCGATGTCTACTTTCAGTGTGTTCTGAGGCCTGATTGGTGCCATCCAAGCGTGGATGTTGTTTTGAGCGATGTCTACTTTCAGTGTGTTCTGAGGCCTGATTGGTGCCATCCAAGCGGGGATGTTGTTTTGAGCGATGTCTACTTTCAGTGTGTTCTGAGGCCTGATTGGTGCCATCCAAGCGGGGATGTTGTTTTGAGCGATGTCTACTTTCAGTGTGTTCAGAGGCCTGATTGGTATGTCATAAAAACAACGGGCAAATTAGATCAGCCCTAGTCTCAATAAAGATCGATGGCCATTTTGTCAATTTCCCTACAACGTGTCTAAGGTAGGGACACAACCTGTGTGGCCATTGGTCCATCCTCTCAATGACTTCAGAGATCCCTTGTCATTTACAGTTTTCACCCCTCTCTCCCTCTCACTCTTCTCTCCCTCTCACCCGTCTCCCCAGCTCCATGCCCCCAATGACCATTTGCAATTCATGGAATGCCTTCCTCAAGTCTAAACACGATCGCAGGCATCCTTCTTTCTGAATGCTGAGCTTCATTCTCATCCGGTTATTTCTGTACTCTTTCAGGCTACATATCCTAATCTGTGTTACTAATGATTTGGGGTAGTAGATTCTGTTGCTCAGTAAGTTCTTTCATTGAGTGTATTACCTGAGTTACGGGTAGACTGGGGTGCTGGTAGGCTTCCTACTGCACAGAAAAGGTCGTCCCACATAAATGTCTGTTTCGGGCAAAACAATCTGTGGAAGAAGTGGGTTTACACAAGGATATTTGTTTCTGGCAGAGCATAATAAACACAAGCAAATGTGACTGACCACCTCAATTCGGTCTTACGTAGTAACATTTGAAATTGTGTTTTTTACATTGGATAAAAGTAGAGACTCAGAGCTATAAAGTTGTATATCATACACTGCAGTTGAGGAACAATGGGAAAGTCATTCTGCTTTGAAAGTTGGTAAACTTGTAACATCACCTTTGAGAAAAAGGCCCTTGAATGTTTTGGTACACCTACTGGAGAGCTCTTCTTTGTCTACACCCATTCAGCATCGTTCACAACCTATTTGCCCCACCCATCTCTTTAAGGATTCCCATGTGAGGCCATGTGCTAAACAGAGGGAGTAAAGTAGAGTAGTAAACAACCAAAGATTTCAAGACTAAAAGTGGTAAAAGTAGTAGCCTACAATAAGGAAAAACTTTATCTAGTCCTTGGCCTATAGTGGCTTGCAAAAGTATTCATCCCCCTTGGCGTTCAATTTGGGGAAGTGAAATGAATAAAATTACTTGTTTCAAAAAATTCAAAAAAATAAATAACGGAAAAGTGGTGCGTGCATATGTATTCACCCCCTTTGCTATGAAGCCACTAAATAAGATCTGGTGCAACCAATTACCTTCAGAAGTCACATAATGAGTTAAATAAAGTCCACCTGTGTGCAATCTAAGTGTCACATGACCTGTCGCATGATCTCAGTATATATACACCTGTTCTGAAAGGCCCCAGAGTCTGCAACACCACTAAGCAAGGGGCACCACCAAGCAAGCGGCACCATGAAGACCAAGGAGCTCTCCAAACAGGTCAGGGACAAAGTTGTGGAGAAGTACAGATCGGGGTAGGGTTATAAAAAAATATCTGAAACTTTGAACATCCCACGGAGCACCATTAAATCCATTATTAAAACATGGAAAGAATATGGCACCACAACAAAGCTGCCAAGAGAGGGCCGCCAACCAAAAATCATGGACCAGGCAAGGAGGGCATTAATCAGAGAGGCAACAAAGAGACCAAAGATAACCCTGAAGGAGCTGCAAAGCTCCACAGCGGAGATTGGAGTATCTGTCCAAAGGACCACTTTAAGCCATACACTCCACAGAGCTGGGATTTACGGAAGAGTGGCCAGAAAAAAAGCCATTGCTTAAAGAAAAAAATAAGAAAACATGTTTGGTGTTCGCCAAAAGGCATGTGGGAGACTCCCCAAACATATGGAAGAAGGTACTCTGGTCAGATGAGAAGCTAGTTTCCCAGTCCCTACCGCTGAAAAACATCCCCACAGCATGATGCTGCCACCACCATGCTTCACCGTAGAGATGGTTAATGTTTCATGGTCTGAGAGTCCTTTAGGTGCTTTTTGGCTAACTCCAAGCGGACTGTCATGTGCCTTTTAAATAATAATAAATAATATGCCATTTAGCAGACGCTTTTATCCAAAGGGACTTACAGTCATGTGTGCATACATTTTTACGTATGGGTGGTCCCGGGGATCGAACCCACTACCCTGGCGTAACAAGCGCCGTGCTCTACCAATTGAGCTACAGAGGACCACGTGTAGCTCAGGTGCTTACTGAAGAGTAGCTTCCGTCTAGCCACTCTACCATATAGGCCTGATTGGTGGAGTGCTGCAGAGATGGTTGTCCTTCTGGTAGGTTCTCCCATCTCTACAGAGGAACTCTGGAGCTCTGTCAGAGTGACCATCAGGTTCTTGGTCACCTCCCTGACCAAGGCCCTTCTCCCCCGATTGCTCAGTTTGGCCGGGCAGCCAGCTCTAGGAAGAGTCTTTGTGATTCCAAACTTCTTCCGTTTAAGAATTATGGAGGCCACTGCATTCTTGGGGACCTTCAATTCTTCAGAAATGTTTTGGTACCCTTCCCTTGATCTCTGCCTCGACACAATCCTGTCTCGGAGCTCTACGGACAATCCCTTCGACCTCATGGCTTGGTTTTTGCTCTGACATGCACTGTCAACTGTGGGACCTTATATAGACTGGTGTGTGCCTTTCCAAATCATGTCAAATCCAATTGAATTTACCACAGGTGGACTCCAATCAAGTTGTAGAAACATCTCAAGGATGATCAATGGAAACAGGATGCACCTGAGCTCTATTTCGAGTCTCATACCAAAGGGTAATTATACTTATGTAAATAAGGTATTTCAGTTTTTTATTTGTAATAAATTTGCGTACATTTCTAAAACCTGTTTCATTATGGGGTATTTTGTGTAGATTGATGAGGACAATTTTGTATTAAATACATTTGAGAATAAGGCTGTAACTTAACAAAATGTGGAAAAGTCAAAAGTCAAGGGGTCTGAATACTTTACGAATGCACTGTAGGTACCATGCTAACTAGCTAGCCAACTCATGTGCTAACGTTTGCTGGTAAACCTTTAGGTGGCTGGTTGTAACGTTGTAGATACAATAGATCTCCGATTGTAAAACATCTTCTACTTTTAGTCATAGATATGGCTACCTGTAGTTGTTTAGCTATCTTAGCTTACCTAGCTACCTAAATTAGCAAACAGAAAAATAATTTCATTTCCCCCCACAGTAACACAGTTGTATGTTAGGCAGCAATAAACAATGTGGGTTTCAGTAGAAACCTAAAGTTAGCTAGCTAGCTAGGTAGCGTGCAGGAAAAATAACTTACTTAGCTAGCCACTGTATTTGTCATCTGCCCTCTTGGTGCTGGCATCGGCTGTAGTTGAGCTTCTAGCTAAATCCAACTCTTTATAATAATTGTTTCGAATTCTCTTCGGTATTTTCTATCTGTAAATGCTATTCTTAATGTTAATCAATCAGGATTCAGATGGCCACTATGCTTGTTGTAAATTATATTGCAAATGCCTTAGATGAGATAGAAATAATTGTGCTGCCATGTTTGTAGACTCTTCTCCATAAGGTGTTTTTTTAATCTGTTTTTTAAATCTTATTTTACTGAGTTAAATGAGTTACTTGATGTGGAATAGAGTTCCGTGTAGTCATGGCTCTATGTAGTACTGTGCACCTCCCACTGTCTGTTCTGGACTTGGGGACTGTGAAGAGACATCTGGTAGCATGTCTTGTGGGGTATGCATGGGTGTCTGAGCTGTGTGCTAGTAGTTTAAACAGACAGCTTGTTGCATTCAACATGTCAATATCTCTTACAAATACCAGTAGTGATGAAGTCAATCTCTCCTCTACATTGATCCAGGAGAGATTGACATGCATATTATTAATGTTAGCTCTCTGTGTACATTTAAGGGCCAGCCGCTAGGGACTGTAGGACCTGCCTCGTTGATAGTGATAAATGAGAATGTGTTCTCAGTCAATTTATCTGGTAAAATGTGGGTTAAATAAAATGTTAATAATAATTTACAATCCAGGGTTACTCCGATGCAGTTTAGTCTCCTCAACTTGCTCAATTTCCACATTATTCATTACAAGATTTAGTTGAGGTTTAGGGTTTAGTGAATGATTTGTCCCAAATACAATGCTTTTAATTTTATAAATATTTAGACTAACTTATTTCTTGCCACCCATTCTTAAATGGACTGCAGCTCTTTGTTAAGTGTTGTAGTGATTTCACTTGCTGTGGTAGCTGACGTGTTAGCTATAGTGTTGAGTCATCAGAACACAGTACATAGGCACACAGGCTTTACTCAGAGCCAGTGGCAGGTCATCAGTAAAAATTGAAAAAAGTAAGGGGCCTAGACAGTTGCCCTGGGGAATGCCTGACTCTACCTGGATTATGTTGGAGAGGCTTCCATTAAAGAACACCCTCTTTGTTTTGTTAGATGGGTAACTCCCGATCCACAATTTAGCAGGGGATGACACTTCAGTTTTTCCAGCAGATTATGATCAATAATGTCAAAAGCTGCACTGAAGTCTAACAAAACAGCTCCCAGAATATTTGTATTATCAATTTCTCTCAGCCAATCATCAGTAATTTGTGTAAGTGCTGTACATGTTGAATGCCCTTCCCTATAAGCATGCTGAAAATCTGTTGTTAATTTGTTTACTGTGAAATAGCATTGTATCTGGTCAAAAGTTTACTAAGGGTTGGTAGCAGGCTGATTGGTTGGCTGTTTGAGCCAGTAAAGGGTGCTTTGCTATCCTTGTTAATGGAATTACTTTTGCTTCCCCCCAGGCCTGAGGGCACACACTTTCCTGTAGGCTTAGATTGAAGAGATGGCAAATGGGAGTGGTAATATCATCCGCTATTATCCTCAGTAATTTTCCATCCAAATTGTCAGACCCAGGTGGGTGTATCTATCATAATTAATTGAATTTAGACATACAAATTACCAAACCTAGTCACAGGCTTGGATAACATTGGAAACCCCTTCGGTCTCCACAGAGTTGCCCTCACAAAAAATGAATTTGTTGCAGCAACCGTCCCGCAAGTTTGTGGCAAATTTGCTGCAAACTAAACAGTTTGCCACAAAATTTTGCCAGAAGTTTGCAAATGCTTGACACAAGTGGTGAATCTGCGGCAATCCTTTGGCAACAATAATATTATGGCAAACAGTTCGCCAGAGTTTTTTTATCTGGCAGACAATTCTCTCAAGATTACATTTTAATCAGTGGCAAACCTGTGGCAACAAGTTCCAAGACCAGTAACCGTTGATGATCAATCAGGGGGGGGTAATTAACATCTGTTGGAAAATGGAAACCAAGCTATCTAACTACCAAAGTTGTCCAGTGAGTGTCTAACC